AGATATTTAAACTCACAGCTACCACTGGAATTACAGGGAAGATTGAAAATCAGTGAAGACAGCCAGCTGAAGAAAGTAAGGAACCACATGTTCTCCAGATTTTCTAGCATAACACCACACAGTAGAGTCTGATTATTATTCAACGGGGTGGGGACAAAAGAAAGCTTCCAATTAGAGATTTATATGTTCTAACCTCCTCTATGAAAGTGGTCAAAATACTAGTCAGAAAATCAGTATCTCCTTCTGCTCATATGTAAGGAATGTTATTTCCTCTTGAAATCCAGAACCCTTTCATTATAGACTTACACCAGTTTCTGCACGTGGAGCAGAATGGAAAATTTCAGCAAGGATTAATGAAGTCTCATGGGGCCCTGAGATACAGGATTTATCAAGAGGTAAGGGAAAAGAATCGAGATTAATTTCAGGTGTATGATTCATATCCTGCCATGATGTGTCAACAAAAATCACTTAGTGCCTCAGTTACCTGTGTGTTAGAACAAAGTAACAGCATCATTCTGCTCAACAGGGAAGATGGAAACTGTGCCTGCCTCCCCCAAAGCTCTCACCTAGGCGTGCTCAGTGGTAGAACATTGCAGCTCTTGGTGGGGTGTAGTGGGACAAGTAGCATGAATGGCATTTACCTGAGAAGCAGAAGTGGGATGCAGCAGCAGTACCCACCTGCCACTGGGTTTCCTTTGCTCCATCCTCACTGCCACATGCCCAGGGAATGACTCTTTCCCTACATGTGCCCCACTGCAGCAGTTGCCAGCAGCCAAGGGGGAGGCCATGCAATATGTGATTTATGGTGAATTTGCCCTTACTATTGCATGGCACTGAAGCACACAGACTCCACAGAGTTTTGTGAGGAGATTGTTGGGTGATGAATAGGCTGAGAAAGGCCAGGCAAACAGTATTATTGTAACACTACATAAATATGGGTTTTTTCCTTTAACACTAAAACACCTGATTTCCTTTAGCATTGTAAACACGTCACTTTATTAGGTCTGGGAGAGCTGATGAATTTAAAGTAATTTTCAGCAAACAAGTGGCAGCCTCTCTGCTTTTTTGATGGAGGTGAAGGAAAGAAATGTTTATCATGAAAACATTATGAAGCAACAAAAAGGACAGGAGAAAGCTGTTGTCTGCACTGAAGTTTCTTATAGACAAGAGCCACCCAGGTGGCATTAGTGGAAAACTGCTAGAAAACAGGAGAAAGACAGGACATAATCTCCTCTAAACAGTTGGCACAGTCTCAGTGTTTTGTAGATAATAAATTTAGCTTTCAGGAGGAAGTTCAAATATGCTGCATTTACTAGTTTTTAAGAATGAAAATGAATGTATTAATTATGTACAATGTTGCCGTCTGCTAAAAGAGGCAATTTTGGCCAGGGCTTGGCAATTTCTTTGCAGACACAAAGTTTAACCCAAGGCTTTTCAACCATAAAATTACTGCCCTGTAAAAGGACAGATAAATGTCTAAGCAAGTGCCTCATTACTGTCAGAGCAATGATTTATTGTTTCATTTTACTGTTGTGTTTTCCTGGTTATTAGAGTGAAGGTTGAGTCAGCCTTTCAATTATAAGTAAACTTCCTTTGAGGAACTGCAGTTTAACCAGAGAAGAAAACTCACTTGTAAGCATTTAGGTAAAGAAGAAAAATAAAAACACTGGCAAGTGCTTGGATACCTTTTGGGTGAGCAGTTCTTGACCTCTTGAGGCCCCAAATTAGCTGTTTCTTTTCCCCTGTGAATAGATGCCTCCTAGCTAGGATACCTGCTCCACCAAGAACCAACTTTGTTTAGGGAGGATATAGAAGCAACTCAGAATCAGCAAAGCACTGGGAGCTGCATGCCTTGCTCCCTGGGGGCTACACCCAGATGTGATGCTGCCTGGGTCATTGCCTCTCCCCAGTGGAATGGTGGCAGGCAAGGTTGTGGTGGGCAAGGTGAGGGGCCAGGTGAATGGAGTGACTGCTTCCCTTGAGAAGGGACCTGTGCAGAACTGGCTGTTTCTCCTTTCAACTGGTTATGGTGGTCAGGTGGCTACACTGCATCTATTTTGGCCACCAGGCAGTTCCATGTTGAACATTAGTATGTTCCTCACCAAGTCACCAAGACTATTCAGAGCTTGCAGTAAATTCATTTTAGCTCCCAGTGAGCAACTGGAGAGGCTGGGCTTTGCCAATTACCCTACCTCCACCAGCTGCCGTGAGTCAGTGGTCTGTGGTGATTATTGAGAATTGGACTGCATTTCATAAATCAGTGTGTACATGCCATTTGACTGGAACAGCCCTCCACACTTGGCTCCATTTTTCTCCCTCTCCGATTTTTTTTTCCTCCACGTTTTGTTTTGCTTTTAAACATGAGTGATCATGAGGCACAGCTCTCATTAAGGGTTTCTGGTTTGCATGAGCTGCAGAGGTATAACACATGCTCCAGTCATGGAGCCAAAAACCAATTCAAAATAAAAGCTTTCCATGAGAGAAAGATAGCATTTGAGGCTAATGCATCCTTACAAATGTAGCACTATAGGCTGCTCATGGGGTATGCTGGTGAGGCAGAGGCTTCTCCTGACACCAGACATCTCCAGCACAGAGCACTTCCTGAGAGAGCTGCTGGGGGAGTCTGTCTGCCAGCCAAGGCTACCCCAACACCACCCAAAAAAAATCCTGCAAAGTCCTACTGCTAAGTGCCAGGAGTTTGCCCCACTATCCAGGAGGCTTACAATACTACACATGATCTCCTTATGCTTATTCTTTTTTTTCTTTTCTTCACTTATCTTTCCTCTTCCCCCCCACCCCAATTTTAGAAACATTACTCTTCACAATTGGACCAAATTAGAACTGTTTTGAGTCAGAAAGTTGAAAACCAAGACCCTAATCCAGACAAGTTGAAAGCACAGAACAGGGGCTTGATATGTCAGCTGAGACCCACAGTCACCAGACTCCTGAAGTGGCTTAGACTGGTTTTCTGGTTGATGTGGTGGGCCCTTGATTCACTCTTTCTCTAAATAGGACTAGAAATGTTTCATTCATTGACATTGGTGTGTGCACTCCCAAAACGCATTTTGGCTTCAATGAGTCAACAATTTCTAATATTTTCCAAATAGCTGCAGGTTTTTTGTTTTGGTTTTTTTTTTTTTTTTTTTTTTTTTTTTTTTTTTTTTTTTTTTTTTTTTAACGTGGAAGAAGTGTGTGCTTCCTGGTGAAGGGCACAGCAGATTCTATAGTAGTGTAGGAAACATGAATCACTTTCCATTTGCCTCTCTGCTGCACTCCATTCTCCCAGACACTAGGAGCAAGGCAGAAAAATGGAATCTAAAAAAGCTCCATTCTAGCCTGACTCCTTCATATAATTCCTATAAATCCTGTCCTTTGTAACTCTCTGCTCTCTTGCTTCATGTTCACTGAAGTATGTGAATTTCTAATATCCTGATTTCTAATATGTAAATTTCTAATAATGTTTAGATGGATGTCTGATCCCTAAATTATCCACAAAATTTGAGAAACCTTTTCTTGTGTACCAAAGGAGCTTCTTTGCTTGTCCACTTAAAAAAAATTGATTTCTTAAACTTTCTGGTGTTTTCTTCTTTTCTATCTTTACTTCCCAACCAGAAAAACAAATTCTTCATTTTTAAATAAATTCTTCATTTATGAGTTATTTCAAGTTAGATACTCAGTCCTTTGAAAATTAGACCTTGAAATTTGTAGAGAAACTAACATGGAAAAACAACCTTGTGATGTTTTGACTTTCTTAGAATTCCTTCTACTGCCTGGGCTTTTGGAAAATCAAAAAAGTTTTCCCAAACTTATAAACATTTCCAAAATGTTTCAGAATCCATTATTTGTTTAAAAAAAAAGAAAATTAATCAAACAAGTAAACCCTAAAGTGCATTTTTCTGGAGGAGTTTTATAGGTAATGAATAATGACGAAGAAGCATTTTTGCACCCAAATGAGGAAGAGTCCACCACTAAATGTTCTCAGTATGATATTTTTGCTTTAGTTCATCACTGTGAACATCATGTGCAAGGCACAATGATAGCCATTTAGAGCACTGACTTTCTCAGCAATGAGAAATGAAGGTAACGTTGTGCTATCACCCAGTTTCTGACTGCCTTTTATCTCACTCTTCTGAAACGTTACTGAATGGTTCTGCTCTGGAGTCACATGCAAACCCATTTGGAGGACACTGTAAAACTGTTTACTATGGGTTTTTCTGCTCAGTAGATGAGATTTCTTTGCATTTCATCCACTTGATTTTTGACAGATCTTCCTTTTTGTTCCTAAAACTGAGAAGGCAGCAGATGTACAGACAGAACAGCTGTGTTTGTAAGACATGTTTTAATCTAACCCCTTGCAAAGAAGTCCACTACTTACAAGCTGCTTCTTGTGGCTGAATCACTGTGGCTACCAAGGTTCTGCCACTTGCCACATAGTTCCCAAGATTGTAATGTCACATCTAAGTGTGCTGACAATTCTGTGATCACACTTTGGCCACAGTCTGCAGACTGTGGAGGGACTGCCTTGAAACAAAATTCAGCACCTCACTGAAATAATGAAGTACTGCTCTCAAAAACATTTAGAGTTTAATGAGGATGATCTTCAACTGGACAGGCTACTTGCTCCTCAGCAGCCCAGTTTGTCTCCTGAACAACCTATGACTGTAAAGGTGTTAGCATAATATTAGTGAGTGAATGGCACGGGGACTTATATGTATACACTGTGTGTCTACATCATCAAATTGTTTTTTTTTTTTTCTGTATGTTGTCTCAAGGACACTGCAAGAGCTGCTGATTGTCTCTCAGGCTGCATCTGGAGCAAGGCATAACCCACAGATGCACCAGTGTCTACCAGACCCATATACAGGCTCAGGGCTTCTCCAGGCATGAGTGGCAAGGGCAGCGTGGACATCAGAGTCCCAGCTCACACTTGGCTCCTGTAAAAGACCCTGCGTCTTTCAACCACAAACCAAACAAATTACAACATTGTATAATGCAGAAAATGACACTTCCAAGTGTATTTATTGAGAAATAGCAAAGATGTACACAATTTTACAAGCTTTTAATTTTAATTTACATTTTTCTTAAATTAGGTAGGCCCTAATAAACTATAATCTGCTAATACATGATAGAGACCCTTGGCTTCAACTCTCCAAAATGCTTCTGTTGCTGGGATTTTGGCTAATGTCACTTCAGCTCCTCTTCAGAGATACTAAATACCATATTCATTTACAGCATATGCCAGGTGTCAATCCTATAAAGCAGAGATGACTTTTGAACTGAAACCCTGGATCTGGATACAAACTTCACTGCTAAAACCTAGTCTTTCCTGTCGTGGGTCAAGCCTATATTCTCCATAAACTCTGCAGTTGTGATAGGATGCAAGATTTCATCTGCCTCAAGGTGAAGAGTGCTTGTATAGAGGACTTTATTTGGCCTCATCTCCCTTGTCAATGCTTACACTGGAATACACTCTGCATCTGCTTCAGATGCAAACACTGCTGCTCACACTGGATTCGGATGGGAACAGATCTGGCAGCTAGCTGCTACCTATATCTTTGTGCACAATCTCCACAGGCATCTAAAAATAAGTGAAAATTTTAGGTTTTTCTGCCCTTTTTTACTGAACTGCACAGAGTTATGTCTAAGATACTATCCTGTGACTGTAATCACACAATATTTGTATTTTGCAAGCTGACCACTCAAACGCCTAATGAACGTTCAGGTTCTGTACTGAGAACTGCTAGAGTACCAGCAAAAGGCATTTTATTCTATATTTCATTTGCCTAAAATACTTGCAAATGGGGCCTTGTGCCCAATTTTGTTTGTTAAGGAGAGGCTGAAGGGAAGGTAGTTTCTGATTAATATGCTTCTGAATTAAAATGCACTCAATGTCAAAGTGACCAACCTTCAGTTTAATCTTCTTAGGCCCATCTGGAACAGTCTGGCGTGACTGTCTCTGCCTTGGTTATTTTCTCCTCTGTTTTGTTCATGCAGGAAAATATATCAGACTAATTTCTCTTTACAAGGCAGGCATGTACTACACAATTTTATTTAAAGATATATATCAATTTTTGCTTAGCAAGAGAGTATTCATTCTCTGAAATTTTGTTTTAGAGTTTTAGTACTGCAAAGCCTTTTGAGCTACGTCCTTGAATTTTCTTTGGATACATGTTTGTGTGGATTGCTTGTTTTAACAATTAACTTCCACTATGGTGGCACACAGAACCTTGTCATGCTCTGCAAAACTTCCCTCCTTTGCCTCCATCTCCTTCTAGAAGTCCATATATTAGTTGAGCCATATCTGCCACAGAAAGCTAAGCACAACGCCAATGAAGGCACTGCAAACCTTTAATAAGAACCAACGGCTGTTGCTGGGCTACTTTTTGTTCTTTCATTTGATTAGGAAAAGAACATTGAAAAGCTGAACAAATAACTTGAGAAATAATATTACTTCATGCATTTAAATAACAATATGACATGTCAAAAAAAAAAAAAAAAGAAGAGAAAAAAGCTAGTTAACCAAACAAATTTTTTGTTTCATCACATCTTTTACATTGAGATTTTTATGTAATGCTGGAACTTGAGAAGGGGTTCAAAGTTCTTTCCCATTCCAGTAGAAACACTTTTTTTTTTTTTTTCCCACCTGAAAAACTAAAAAAAGCTGTACTACAGATTTTTATGACATGTATTTCCAGGTAGTGAAAATATAAAGAAGGTATGCGTAATTATTTTTGTTTTGGACACACAAATCTATCATGCAAATATCTACCTAGCCTACAGTGATTTCATATGTGGCGAGTCTCATGTGATGGCTTTAAACTGTCCAGTGATAAAAAATTATTGTTAGTTTGTTGTGTGGTGACTGGTATATCCAATTCCAACACAGCAATGAAATCCATTTTTATGAATTTATAGAGGAGTTTCACCTTGGACTTATAGCCGCTTCATACTTACACCTACCAAGTAACTTTGTTAAAACCTCAACAAAGTTTAAATGAACTAAGTTACTACCTGGTAACTCTGGCATACGATGGCTTCAGAGCACAGAGAGAAGATTTTCACCTCAGTGCTGACTACTATACTCGTGCAGACATCCTGGAGTTTGCCTTTAACATCTTCTCTTGCAAATACCTCTTCACACAGTCAGTGCACATTCAGCCTCAGGTGTCTCCACATACAGTGTTAAAAATTGAAAAAGTAGTTTCCACCTTCTGCCACGAGAGATGAGCCACTTGCTGTTATTACAGAGTGCTCAAGCTGCACGTGGAACATTAAGGGCCCTGTGTGCAGTATGGATTTTGCTCATTTTCCATAGCTGAAAGGTAGAATGTTCAAAACTTGCAAGGTAATTGTTACTGTATGGACCGCAACTTTTAATAGACATTATGGAAGCTAAGGTGATCTATTTCTCAATGTTTCTTCATGAAAATCACCTCCTTATCCTCTCCTCAGATGCCTGGCATGCTATTGAAATTTCTTTTTCAAAAACATTTAGGGTTGTCCCTGTGCAATTTTGTTGAGCAATCAAAAATGGATGAGAAAAATCATGCTGACACAAAACAAAATACACAAAAATGTGGAACAGAATGGAAAACCTATCACAATGCTGTTTTCTTTACCAAAGCAGACTATTCTCCTGAAATGGCCGATGTCACCAAGCCAGCAATTTCAGCAGCTTGTGTTGATCCTGAATATGATAAATGTAGCATAATTTCCACATCTGACAGATGAGAACTTCTTTAGTAATTTTTCATCCCTAACGAACTTGTGTTTTATTCCCCATCTGGGATTAACTCCACATTTTCACCTTCCAGTAATGCCACCTGAACACTTTGTCTGCTGGGTGGAACTTTGCTCTGTTATGGGCAGCAGATGCACTCATTGTATGGCTCTCAGTGGATGCAGTAATTAATGAATGTGGCTCTTAGTTCTCTTGCTGGCGAATCAAGAAATGATGCTGAAGGTGTTAAACACTATTTCTTCTTTTACCTCTCCAGGTAGCGGTCCCCAGTATCAACCTCCCAATATTTTCTTAACTTTTCTCAGAAAATCAGTGGAATTATTCAGAATCCAAATAAAAACACAAACTTTCCTTTATTTATTTTTCTTACTGCAACAAATACTTAAATTCTTTGGTGCAGCCCTGCTCTTTGATTTCTTTGAATTTCAAATTTGGTCATGTCAGAAATTATCACAAAGTTTTTTTTGTTTATCTACAGAGTTTTTAACCAAAATTACATTATAACACACAAACACAGTCTTCTCTTTAAGGCACAACACATCATATGCACATTCTCTTTGCCAAACTTATAAAAGAGGCAATATTATATAACCCTTTCCCTCCCCTGCCCCCACCCCCAAAAAAAAGAAAGAAAAATTGCATCCACTTCCAAAATCAGCTGCTAATAAAGTCACAGTAAATTATTTTCATCAATAATTTACACAAATTACACGTCTAGACAGGATTGTCATTATACAGTCTGAGTGCATTCCAATTCAGATTTTTTGGGTTAGGTAGGCTAAAGTCTGGTTCAAACCTCAGTGCTGAGAATATATCCCATTTTGAGGAATGTTGTTGAACACCACCTTGTTGGCTGGAAAATGCGTTTTGGTGCTTTGCCAGTTCGAGTCCTTTGTTCACTCCTGTCAGGGCTCACTTGGTGTGTACCAGCAACCTCCACAGTTTTAATTCACTTAAAAACGTTGCATATATAAGACCATAGAGCTTTCTTACGTAGCACTAATGTTTTAACTCCATTCAGCAATCTGAATTCTTCAGTTTGGAATTTTGAATTCCAAATATTTCTTCCCTTCTTAAGACAATTCATATGTGTAAAGCCAGAGGCATTGAATCACACATAAAAATTCAGTGTACTTGAAATACGTATACATATATATATATATATATGTGTGTATATATATATATATATATATATATATAAAAGGATCACCAGCTTTAGGACACAGTTACAAATACTCTAGTTCCAGTGCTTGATGGAGAGCCAAGAGGTCCGAATGACTGGATATCCTCCAGAAAGGCATGTTGTGCTGTGTTTGTTAGAGGAGGGAAAAGGTCAGGAAAGATGAACACTGTGACACAGGGCAGCATACCACACACAAGGATAGTTAGAGATTACCAGCACCTATCCTACACCACTGTGGTTCTGGATTGATTTTTGCTATTCAAGTACCGACAAAATAGATCTGAGCTTAGTAGCTCAGCTGAAGTTAAAGTAATTAGATGATAGCCTTTATTAATAGCTTCTTTGAAAAATACCTGTTACTTAGTAAAAGCCACTTGCTTATTGTTAGCATGCAAGCGCGTACAAAGGAGCATTATTAGTAAATAATTTGATGCTCCACTTATTTGACTGCAAAATACTGAATCATCATTTAAAGGACTACACGACTTCCATGAAAAGATGCTTCTCACTCAACACTTCAAAACAGAGCTGAATTATATTTTTTCTCCATCCAGGCAGAAAAAGAAATGTCTTTGGATAAGAAAATAACACATTTTTAGTTTAAGAAAAGATAATTTGTGTTGCAGAAAGCATCAGTGTCTGTGAGAGATGCAGGTATACACATTATTCTCCTTCAATAATTCATCAGAACAGAAAAAACACACTTCCATGTTGTGTTTGGAACTATTTGAAATGTGCTATATTCATCCATTTCTCTGAATTCTACATCTATCCATGCAATATAGCCAATGTTAAGGAAAAAGCATGCCCAACCAGAAAGCCCACAATCCAACCACCACTGTTTAGCAAAAATTATAAAGGACCCATCACCAGTACTGTACCTATATTAAGGAACCATTTGGAATGAGCATTTCGATAATTTCCATTTTGTTTCCACTCCAACTACAATGCTAAGAGAGTGCTTAATTTTGCTACATCTAGCACAACAAGATTTACATAATTGGCCCTGTACAGACATTGTGAGGAAAAAAATCAATCTCTGCACACTTCCATGGTTTATACTGGGAAGCACGGCACAAATTACTAGTTTGATATTTCTGAACATTAAAAACTTTTCTGCTGAAATTAGACTTGAATTATCATGAGGAAACTAGGAAACAGTTCTTTTTTGGAAACACAGATTTGGTGCACGATCTCTACATTGTGTTTTTTTTCCTTTAGCAGATATGTCTTTCTTGAAGCAAATTATATTTTTACCATATTTGCCCCAGTAAACTATGGATCTTCATCTATCTTAGCAAAAAAATTTGCACAGTCCTTTAGATGTTTTCCACATTCTCTGTAACGCTTCTCTTGAAGCATTCCCAATTTCAGCATTTTAAGAAAAACACCACTCAACCATCATATCATAACCCTTTCTATCTCTACTGTTTATCTTTTAATTTGCTTGAAGTTTGTCAGACATTTTTTCTGCATTATTTTTCCATCTGTTTTAAAAATCTTTTTTTTTCCCCCTTTCCAAAGTGAAGCAAAGCAAATGCTCGAATCCAAATGGTTCGTTTTACTCTAAGTGTTGATCTCATCATGCTCTTGTTGGCTTGCATCTGTGGACTGAAGTTATTTGTCATTTTTTGCAACACTGACAGAAATGCAAACAGAAAGGCTTGCATTAGTAGCTATGTATCACACCAACATTTCAGAAGACAGGTTACCTTTTTTGCTGCCTGTTCTTCTTCTACACCATCCCCAATTACAACATATACTACTTTTCTGCCAAACCTTTGCATTATTCGTTCAAAGCAACTTTCTTTTCCTGGAAGATAAATGAGATAAGAGTTCAGAGTGAAGTTACCTGATTAGCTGCATGTTCCTCATCTCGGCCATCTCCAATCACAACATAAGTTATGTTAGTGCCAAATCTGGACACTATACGCTCAAAACAGCTCTCTTTGCCTGAAAAACAATGCACTATTTATTCAAGCTATCAAGTGAGTTATGGTGAAGCCTTACAGAGGATTTTTGCAGTGGTAAGACAATGCTACTACTACTTTTAAAAAGTTCCCAACCTTGGGATTTAGAGCCAAATCTGGTAAGAAGCAATGGATTCCCTTAATAACACTAAGATGTTTCAGCTAAAACTAGATCTCTTAATCATGACAGGAAAGCCACTAAGACAAAGGAATTAGCAGCACTGCAAAAATGAATAGGTTAACAAATGAATAATTGAATTTAAATATTTATTTATAATTGTAATAATATTCTTACAAGGAAAATAGAAATTTTAATTCTAATGTATCTGCAACAATGAGTGATGCAGTAATTAAAAACTTAATTAAATGATGACTGAGGTAATAGTTGCGCCTGACACTGCTGGAATATGCACTGCTTTTTCCCTTGTGAAAATAATTTATGAAACATATTGCAATGCTTTTGTCAATGAAGTGACTCATTCCATGCTACAAAGGTTGTCATAGGTATAGAAATGAAGCATTCCTAAATTGCTGATTGGTAAAATCTGCAAAATTATCAGTCATTGTATGCTGCATCACATTTCACAGGAATGACTGCTTCTCTTGGTTTACAGTTTTGGATCCAGTTTCCAGAAACCATACACTTCCAAACCATAATGCACAAAAGGCACACAGTTGTGAACAGAATGGGGAAGTGCCCTTTTGTTATCCAGCAACACGGGTTCTGTTAATAACAGCTGTCATTCCCATCACTGACATACTATGCCTCAGGAAAAGGTTTGTGAAGCTGTGGCCTGGCTTGCATAGAGCAGAAGGTCAGAGCAGAGGCTAATTTAACAGAATTTCTGCTCAGATTTGAATTCACAAAAAAACTTTTCTTCATTCTCTTTTGCAAGATTTTTGTTTTCTGCACCATACTGAGGACTTTCTGAGGCTTTTAATCGGCACTTCTATTCCTTTCGGCATCATTGAAAATAAGGTGAATTTCGAATTCTTTGACATAAACACATATGAACAAATGTAATGCCTAAATCTTATAACTAAAACTGCTAAGTGTCAGGGAAGTGTTTTGGACTACATCCATTACTGGAAAAAAAAAAAAAAAAAAAGGTAATGCGGTGTAGTCAGAATAGATGAAAGAATAATTTTCTTACCTATTTTGGTTGCACTGTATATATTTTCAATAGGAAAAGCTCCTCCTAAGCTGTATAGTAGAACTTTTGCAAGTGCTGGGATAAGCTGAGTTGTTGTTACCAATACGTTTACACAATTACTCCTAAAAGGAGAGAAATAGTTTAAGTTCAAATAGTTTTAAAACAATACCCAAATGTTGATGAGGTGAACCAGCTGTGGAGAGCATATTAAGGATCCCTCAACATTTACTTCCATTTACACAGTATAGCTGCTCAGCACCATCACATACAGAAAATGTACATAAAATCTCTGGTGAAAGCCTTTAAAAAAAGATGTAGGTCTGATTTGAAGGAAATATTCCACACGGGTTTATAAAGAAACAGGTCTTTGAAGATGGGTGTAGTAAAATACAGATATTTAAGACCATCAACAACCTCCAAAACAAGGTATTTGAATGCTTTGAAAGCATCATTTTAATGCTGGCAATTAATTGTCAGTAGTTACCACCAAAATAAAAGAGTTAAGAGAATGCAAACCCATGATTTGTTACTCTTTTATCTTTTTATCTACACTTTTCTCCACAATGGCATTTCTTTCTTCAAGTTTCAAGAGTAAGAAGATCTCTGAAGAGAGGGAGAGGTAAGAATGATCATGTTAATAAGGTAGCATTGAATGGTGAGGATGAAAACTTGAATGGAGAAGTTGTACAGGCCAGAGAACTCAGAGCTGAGCTACTTTTGGCACTCACAGACTGGAACGTGATCATGGCCATGATGTGGACATGGAGCTGGAAGTAAATACTTGTGAGTTTTCCTTCTGGCATTTCCACAAATTCCAAGCAAGACCCCAGGCTGCTATTTTCACCTTTATTTATCTCAATTTCCCATTATAACATATCAGTAATGTTTAACTGAGTCACAGGTAGCTTCTGAAGGTTTACAGTTGTACAGTTCTTTGAAGACATGACAAAAGACTATTATTGATCAACCCTGAGTGAAGGATAACAGTTTTCCAGACTCATCCACCAGTGCTCAACTGGACTTCATTACCAAAAGTCTCTCTGAAGACTAACAATTCAGAAAGAAATGCAGAGCTAAATACAACAGCTCACACAAATTTGTTACCTTTTTTTCTCCTGAAATGCTTCATACATTGTTAAATATACAGTTAAGACATAAGCATATTGCAAAAGTTGTTATGTTGAAATTAACGTTTTTGTGTCTTTCCAAGTTTGTTCTTTCCACTTGACACTGAGTCTTTTCCCAGACATGTTCAGATAGCAAGATGACTTAATGTTCTTTTTTGTGGTTTAAAATTAGGATTTTTTAGTATTTCTGGTAAGATACATATTGCATGGCTTACTAAGCAGCAGCAGGGTTCACAGTTTTATTGTTTCAGAGGAACAATAAGTTTTATGTCTCAATATTGGGAACGCAGACTTTTAGTTAAAAGAGATTTTTGCTCTTGTGAGAACTTAAGATTTATTCTAAGACATACTGGTTTGCTTAGAAGGACAGAAGAAAAATGCCCTTATGTTCTGGTATCTGTACAGTATTTAGGTTGCACTGCAGATAGGCACAAACAATGAAGGACAGAACAGAGAGCTGTGGAGTTCAGAGAATGCTGTCCACAAGGTAATAAATTAAAAGCTGTCTCAGAATTCTACAATACACTTTCAGTGTACACACATTTGAGAAGACATTTTATACTATCTTCAGTAAATGCTGGAATTAAACCACTTTCCACTTTTCCTGTGTCCTACTCAAAAGTCATAGTAGACCTGTTCTGTTCTTTAAAGGCACTAATTTATTGTAATCTAAAATGTAAAAAAATCCATTACATGTCTAGAAACTTATTTTACAGCCGACTCAGATACATACCTTGTGCTGATAATTGATAATGATTTAAGTGCATTTGTTAGCCAGGAGTCTGTCAGAGCTTCAATCTCTGCTCTTAATTGCAACCATGCATCTCTTTTAGCGGGACCCAGGAGTCCTTTGATGTAAGAAAAGTGAGAAAAATAGAATTAAATTCTGTATCAGATAGGGTTTATGGTCATTGTTTCTATTTTAAATTCAACTACAACCTGAAAAAAATATCAAAGAGAAAATCTATTGTCTTCAATGATTAGGAAATAATAGAGTTTATTTGTACTTCACTATATCAAGGAATGTCAGATAGTATTTCAGATAATAATAATAATTAGTTGCATTTCTTTATGTATCAGGCTGCATTTCGAAGTATTCCTTTCAGAAACATATTTTTAAACCAGCTCCTCCCACTTACATTATTCTCATTATCAGAGGCAGTGACAAGGAGATCCATATCATTGGGATCATAGGTGAAGATGGTCACAAAAGAAGATACTTTAGAAAAAACTGTTTAAAACTGCCCTACTTATGACTCTGCAGATAGTACACATACAGAAATACATTTGTTTGCTGATGGCTTGCTCTTCATGTCCTGTTGTAGTTGGTTCCTTTTACAGCATTTACAGCCTGAAATGGCTGCACACCTTATGTTCTCATATCTCAGTTGGTCCTTAAAAGTTAGTCCTCAAAAATCTCTTTTTGGGTATAAATTAAAAATACCCATTTAAAAATACCCAGCCTATTGAATGCCGAGACATGAATTTGCTGGAACCAACATATTTTAAATGTAGATTCAGAAGAGCAGAGAAATAGGCTTTTTGACCTTTAGTATTCCTCTTCTTTGTCACACCCTACAAGTGATCATGACTGTCTTCCCTACAAGTGATGATGATTGTCTTCAAAAATCAGAAGTGAAATAATCTAAAAATATATGGATTAATCTTGCCTTCTGATAATTTCTAGCAGCTCTTTTGAAATAAACAAATACAGATAAGTTAAGAAAATCATAAAAAAGGCTAAGATGTGGAGGACAAATGAAGAAACCTGCCCATTAAGGATGGCTTATATTTCAGATGCAGGATACGTAGGAGACAATAAAAACCTTAATCCAGTGCACCACATATCTGCATTCTGTTTGCAATATTTTGTTTCTCTCAGTGTGTTTCCCTGTGCTGTGCTCTTGCACTTGCTCTCTTATCACTGTTAAAGGTTTTGTGAAATGCAGCAGCTTCAGAATCTTAGATGCATCAGGAGATACAAGAAAACCCAGTAAACTTTTGGTTAACACTGCTTAAAGAAGTATTAATATATAACAACTCGATCCACAACATCAATGAAAGGCAAAGCAGGGTAAGTGAAAGTCAGCCCTCTACTACCACACTTTGGTCCTATTGCTTCACCCAGTGGTAAGGAAAGACTGAACTACTGAGAGTGAAAATACATGACTGTCACAATTACTGATGACTTCTAAGTATTCTCTGTTCTCACAGTCTATGGTTGTGATGTGTCACTTGACACATCTCCCTCTCCAGAAGAAGGCTGTCTGTCTGCAAGGCACACAGAACTCTCCAGAACAGATTCTTTTGGCTCTGCTGCCTGTTGCCTACAATCTGCTAGTGCTGACATAAGCGAGTCCATGAATTAAAGCAGTAACAGCAAAGTTCTTGTCCCAGCTGAGATCTGGACATACTGGAGACAAAACTGTGTAAGCTCCAGAGTCGACAAAAGGGGCTATTGGCATGGCAGTGATAGAGTTTTCTTGCATCCACTGGTGAAAACAGACTACTAGGTACCCAGCAGAAAGTTTACAAGTTTAGTGTTGTTACCAACCAGATAATGAAAATGTAGGATGGAAATGGCATCCACAACCAATTTGTGCTGTGAAACTGTACAATGTCTTTCCTAGAACAACAGCAAATCTGAGGTAGTCTAAGTGGTTCAACAAGCCAGTAAGGTTAAGACTAGCTGGCTCTGAGGGAGGAAAATGGGCTCTGTGGAAGCTAAATGGAAGCTTGCTTTGTTTGAACAGCATGTGGCTTTGCCTTTACAGTCAGTAGCTTCCAACAGCCATTGGTTCAGTCATATCACTCTCCATTCCCTCTGGGGCTTCCCAGGCTCCTTCCCTTCACGGCAGCTCATCACCATGCAGCTCAGACTGACCAGCACTCAAGGTTGTTTTTGGTAATTGAACTCACCTCCTATGTTGTTCTTGTAAGTATTATACAACTCTTTTACTCTTCTGTAACGGAAAGCCAGCTTCCTCATCCAGTCAACCCCTCCTCTTACACCTGTTGGCAGACAAAGGTTTGCACTACTTGCAGCTGCATGGAAGCCATCAGTTGCAAAACTGTAGGTACTGCAAACACCCAAAATACAGTAAAAATAAATACAATGTATTCCTGTAAATGCTCAAATTATTTCATCTTAAAAAAAAATAAAAGAAAAAGAAAAGAAATTTCTGTATCTTACCTTAGGTCTTGTCCATTATCATCTGAAGAAACATCATCTATATGAACCTGATCGCATTCCTGTTAGAAAGAAAAGAAAGCAAACCTGAATGACGAATTTATCTTATGAGAGAGTGCATTCTTATGGAAGCGTCCAAAAGGCGCGTGGATGCGGCACTTGGGGACATGGATTAGTGGCGAGCACGGTGGGCTGGGATAATGGTTGGACTAGGGGATATCAGAGGTATTTTCCAAGCCGAATGACTCTGTGCTCACCACGGGCTTCGTGCGGATGAAGAAATGACGGGTGCAGGCCAAGGGCTGCACCAGAAGGTGGCAGCCTGTGCACACCCAGTTTCCTTCTGCCATCAACATCTTTAGAAGAGTAAACTTCAGCTTCTACACAGTGTGAATCACTAGTTAAAACAGACCTTCAGAAAAGCAATATGCAATTTAGAGGTGATTTTTTAGGAGTAAATTTATCTTAATTGTAAAGCCACCAAAACTGCAAGTTTCATTTACAGCCTCCCTAGTATACCAATACTTGAAAATCACATAAACCTTATTTTCCCACTCCCTAAAAGCAATTGATGGTGAACCTCAACAGTTGTAAAACTTATGTTAAGTAGTTTGGACACTTATCAGGTTTTTATTTTAATTTATGTGAGTGCCTTTGGCTGGAAAATCACATATAATCAGCAATCCTACAGAACTTGATTATTTCCTGGCTTTGGAAGGGATGGAAAGAACTCGAGGGAACTGAGGTGCATTGGAAATATGAATTCCCCTCCAAGATGGTTTTACAATTGGACAGCTGTCAAATATCCTTATCTGCACAGTGGTTAGAGCACAAAGATAAGAAATTGTGGTGAAAACAAAAGTAAATATATAAGCCAAACCATCATGCATTATATAATTGTTTTCAACAGTTGCTGGAACTAACATCTCAACCCAAAGACACACCTGAAATTCAGTGTCCATTTAAGTCAGCACTTAATTCAGGCTCTGTGACATGCAGGGGTATGTCCTTCTAGGTTTCCAGTCTTTGTCTTGTAACAGTGGTAAATTGTACAGATAAAGGACAAATCTGAACAGAGGAGTGATTTCCAAATGTGTAAGACACAAGTTCCTAGAGTGTGAATTTAGGGAATTATCATTTCATCTTTCTACTTTGTTTGCTTTGTAATGAACAAAAACTTAAGATACTTCTACTCGCATGAACTAAGCTGTTAAAAAAAGAGGCAATTATGTATAAAACAAATACATATTATTTAATTTTCAAATACATAATTTCATTTCATCATACAAGCAATCATAATTTAAAATATTGGGCCAAAGCTAAAAGAAGGAGTTACCAAGCTCTGCTTATGTGGCTTATTCCATTAAGATTGGATAATAGAGCTGTGTTCAAGGAACAGGAATGATGCATTCTTCCCCTCACTGAAGAAATAAAATTTTTTAGATCTGTCTGAGGAGATTATCTGTAGAATATTTTAGAGAAGGTATTTTTGCATGTAAATAGCAGATGAAGAGAGAAAGTAAAGGGAACGTGGCAGCTGAAATAAAATATCAATTTCTTTATATTTATTCATCATTTACACTCCAGAAAAAAATGCAACTATGCTTCACCCAGTGTAGGATAGGAGCTCAAAAATCAGACAAAAAGCCCTACTGGGAAAAATTTTAACTCTGTATTTTGCAACATCTGGGCAATATCAGGCTTCTTAATCACCTTAACAGATTTCCCTGGAACTCGTAAAAGTGTTAAGTTTAAAAGTTTAAAAATCGTGTGTATATGAAGGTATACTAATTAAATGGAAGGCACACAAAAGCCTTGATGGAAAAGGAGTGCCTGCTGCTGTTTGGGTTTTGTTAAGCTTTTCAGCTACATTGTTCCAGCCTTGAAAAATCTAGGTAAGTGTTCTGCTGATAATGTCATTATTAAGTTAAATATGAGTGGGTGGCAAAGGCTCAGCTGTTTAATTTTTTTTTGTCTCACAGTTGGTTCGTTATGATTCTTTGATTAACTCCAGAAACAGGATGAGGGGACAATGCAGTTTTCTGATTACTCACCCCTTTGTCCCTGCAAGAAGGTTGTTAATATAGGAGTTAACATATATGTTATACTGGACATTAAGCCCAACAGTACTCTCCAACTTCCTCTTTTCCCCTTTCCTCTTCTCCTCTGGATCTATGGCTCATCTCCTCTCTACATGCTGGCAGTACACATTTTCTGACCAGCAAACAAGCTCATGTGCCCATCGCTCATTTTTTTTTTTTAAACTTTGTTTTCTTGTTTACTTATCTACTTCAACTAAAATGTTTACCTTTTACAAATTCACTTACATGGTATGGAAAAATCTTGCTATAAAAAAAGAAAAAGCAGGCAGTTTGAGCAGATTTGAGATAGTTATCTACTTTTCTCAAAAGAAATAGGAAACTGAGTTTGCTTTTAAATGACACCAAAGCATTATGGGAAAGAAAGCAAGCTCACTGTCAATTTAAATATTAAGGTAAAATATTTTTCACATCAGCTACGATACTGGTTAAGCTCAAGTCACAGCGGCTGTCAGTGTCATGTCAAAACTAAGAAACATAAAAATACATTTCCTATTAGAGTAAATACAGGAAAGGAATCTAAGTATAATATCTAGCTTTTGTTTGAAGCAATACTAATTAAAATTATATCTGAATGCAATCAATTCTTTGCAGCAATTTTTAAAGTCTGAAAATTTGAGAGTAAAGAATCAATACATCATCCATAAAACTTATCATCTCGGACCAGACAATAATTTTATTATCCAGTAAAAACACTGACTTACCAAAACTGAACACAAAACCGCACTATGCTGTCTTATGCTTTCTTCAGCTTACCAAGCCGAACACAAAATTGCACTATGCTTTCTTAGACTATACCAAAAACCCCTTTTAACATCTGTGCTTCAGTTTCTGTTAAAACTAGTCTTACCTGGCTCCCAAATTCTGAGACTCATCTAAATCTTATTTTTAATTTCTCATTTATATTTCTAGTGAGAAACAAAGGATGAAGTCTCCTTTAAAATATGATAGGATAATAATAAAAATTGAAATATAATTCAGTTTGTTTGAAATTAATACTCTTTCTTTTCATTGACCTGAGAGTGGAGTGGAATAATGGAGATGGAAGATTCATGTCTGAGTTACTACTTGCAATTTGCAGAAACTGTTTTTTTGGTGTGTGTAATAGGCCTTACCAATATTTGTAAATGCTGTCTTAAAATTAATACTGAGATATGAAGAAAAACTCAATTTTATTCCTTACCTGGTTGAAAAAAGAATGCCTTAGTTTGGCCATTATTATAAATCTGAGTCCCATCCCTAAGCGTTGTTTAGGCACATGAACTTTCTGGAGCACCAGGCTCCTATTTCAGTGGCAAAACACCAACAGCCCTTCCAAGTGATGCTTCTCAAGCTAACTAAAATTTATACCCTGAGAATGCAGTAGCTGGAGCCTAGCCTGAAATAAAAGTGCAGCTTGGCTGATTAGAACACGGGTTACTGGGTCAGCAGGGAATGTCTCAGCAGATTGGAATTTCTGCATCAGCAGCCACTGCAGTGACACGGATTTGCATAGAGGAAGGAAAACTTTATTTTTGTAAGTGATAACTTCAATAACTTGGTTATTATTCCTAGAACCTGCTATGCAGTGTTTGTAACCAAGAAAGACAGGGAAAAAAAAAAAAGGAAGTTTAGAGGATGTAGTGACTGGAGTGAATATTACAGGTACACAGGTTCAGTAGTACTTTACAGTTGTCATGTCCAGAGCCATAACGTTTACTGTGGGCTGAAGATGAAAGCAAGAGAGAAGGTGTGGAACCTGAGGGCTCACCACTGAAAAAGTGACATGATAAATGAATAAGCAATCTGTCTGCCTAGCGAATAAAGGCCTGTCTCAGTTCCTCCAGTGAGAACTGAAGGTCTTGTGTCTTGATGGCCACGATCATCAGCACTCATTTCTGCTCCCCTGGGGGAGGACAGAGAGAGGAAGACAGAGAAAGAGAGATGGAGAGAGGAGGGGAGATGAGGGAGAGAACCCAAGTCAGACTCTGGGAATTCTCAGAGTTCATTACACATTCATCATGCAGATGCACTTTAATATTCAGTAATGGCCATGTGCTCTGCAAACAGATTTAATCAGACAGATTTATCCATCAGCATATTAAAGGATGCCGCTACGTACTTGGGCACTTTATCCTATTTGCTGAGAAGATAGAAAATTTCTGGTCTTCTTGCACATACCAAAATGCATGCTTACAACTCATTTCAGCACATGAACTTTGGAATGTTGGTAATTTTGTAAGAGAGTTGGTTTTGAGGCCAAGATGAATTCTGGGTCATAAAGTATTAAATGTCTTGTAGAAATTGTCATTATTAAATATTTATATATAAATTGCTTTTAATCAAATCAAATTGATTGATTTACGAGACTCTCTAAGACAGCTCCCAAGTAGTATTTTTTTATTTATCTAAAACTGGAAACTGTTCAAGCTCTGGAATGAGCTGGCATATGAGTTTTTGGACAGGGGTATTAAAATCATCCTATGAAGATTAGCCAAAATGTAATGATCCACCTATGACAGCTGAACTTGTGATCTACAGACAAAATAAATAATGAGAGAAAGGAACGAAGTTTCAGTGGCCATAAGCAATAATGAAGAGGTATGGAAAGAAGGCAAAGCTCAATTTTGCTGAACTCTTCCACCTGAACTCAGCACAACATTTGAAGAACAGATTCTACTGAATGGCTTAAATTTCGTTCATGCCACATAAACTCTAAACAGGGCAGGGGCAAAGGTCTGCTAAAAAGAAATTTAAGAAATGCTTTGAAAAATTTATTTGGAATCTCTCCCTGTACAGGGCACCAGAAGGAGACATTCACTGAATGTACCTGCATTGTCAAGAGATGTCTCACTAGGACTGCAATAAAGCACACACTGATAAAGACATGTCCAGGGCTTTACTGTCTTTGGTTTCTGCTGCTGCAAGGAGGAAGTATCGTTCAGGTGTGGCATGAAGTAGATTTCCAGTTTCTTGATTTAAAAAGAGCTAAGAATAAATGAGATCTGCAAGGGATGATGAAGACAACCACAAACTGGTACCTTCTGCTTTTCTTACTGCCTACTTGATGAAGGAACAAAATACAAAATCAACATCCCAGTGGATGGAAAAATTTCACTTTGTCTATTGACTCACCAGAGACCTTTCTCTGGGATTCTAAACAAAACCTCGAAGTCTTCCAGCTCCCATTCATGGCAAGTATCTGTCCATGGAGGGATGTCTGGGATCTACTCTGAGTAAGAAAACAACCATTTTAGACCAGCAGAATGTCTGAAAAACCTCTAGGCTATTTTGAAAACTGTTTTTCACTCATTGATTTGACACACATGGTTGTAGGCTTCATTGTCCATGTTAACAGACCCAGACTCTAAGGGTGAAATAAAAAAAAACGGTGAAGCCCAGCATCACTGATCAGAACATCTATCACAGTCCCAGCTCTCTGATGCTGCATTCTTTGAGGTAAATGAAGAATATTCTACATTTGAACAAGTAACAGGGGCCTGTAGCCAAAAGGCTGCTGAGGTATGCCAAGAGAAGAACAGTCTCCTGGTCAGATGAGGGCACCCACTGAAAGCAGATGAATATGGAGAACTTCAAGAGAAGAATGTGAGGCATGTTACCATCCTGGAGATGACAGCAGACAGCTTTACACATATGGAAACCAAAAAAGATGGACAAAGAAAGGAAAGGTAGTTTGCAGATTCTGTCTCTCACTGAGTTTCACAGAAGGACTGCGGTGCCGCCACAAGTCAGTGCCACCTGGCAAACCTCTCTCTGATTAGAGTATGACAAACCCAAAAACTACACAGGCACAAATGTCACACACAATAAACACTAATTCACAACAAAGCCACTAAGTTAAAAATCAGGAATAATCAGTTCTAGCATTCCTTTGACTCTTACCTCTAAATCATTAAAAAATAAATGTGTGTCAGCAAGATTAAAAATCATTTCTTCCATTCGTAGTCCAAGGGTCACTGCCATGGGCGGATCCTTAAAAAACAAAAAAACAAGGTTAGCTTGTTATATACCTCTAAGTTATATTAGAATTACTTCAAAAATTGGTGTATATAAAGTGTTTCGAAAAATTAACACTGCAAGAAATTTCACTGAAATCTTTTCAGTATTAAGCTATTTTAATATAATGCTGTAATAAGACACTGCTGAACCTCTGTTTGTGAGAAAATTCAGAGAGCTGTGGATATTGAAAAATCAAATTTTTTAAAGCCCAGCAATTTGCAACCTGGCTGAACTCTCAGGAAAAAACCTGGTGGCCATAAACATATACATAAATATAAACATAAACAAGTATAAAGAAGACTGAAAATAGGGACAGTACTTTTTGCAAAAGATGCATGTAGGAGCATACATTCCTGTGGAAAGCATATATAAGCTTGTTTGCTACAGATCATCCCTTCATTGCTGATGAAACACAGGAATCCTGTCCCTGGATAAGATTAATTCAAAATATTGCATTTGTTTCTAGGTTGTCTTTCACACTCTCAAATTGCTCTGCCTCAGCAAGACACCACAAATCTCCCAATCTGCAATAACACTGTCTCAGAGCATTAAGTGTACAGCTAAGGCAAGATAACAAATTCAAATTTTCTAGGTTTGCTAGGAGAGAGGTAAAGCACATTTGGTTTAGAGTAATGGTCCCTGGTGCTTTGCTGACACCTAGTAATTAGTTTGATTGTTGCCTTAATCATCTGCCTGAGTTTATGGGGTTCCGTTAACTTTTTTATGCTTAACACAACTGCAGTGGACTTTTAAAACACATGCGGTCCTCTTCTCATCAAAATATGAAAAAAAAATTTCATCATTTAAACTCTGATTGACATGAGCAAATTTTCAGAAATCCCTTCTTAAATACCTTGAGATTTAAAGTCTAGATATTTACCAGCATGTAGCAACAAAATCTCACAAAACCTCAAATGATCATTTGTTAGCATTAGGATGAAAGGCTTCCCAACCAGGATCAGACACTCACTACTCCAGGGCTTTGCAACGACGGAATAGAAGATGGCTTCTGCATTCAAGCACTTAATAACTAATGGTAAAATCTGAACCACTGACATTGACTGTTGCCATGAAAAAGGCATACTTGAAGGGGAGAATAGTGTTCAAGAAGTTGTAATGATCCAAAGTTAGACCCAATTCTCTAGCAGTGAAAAGAAATATTTTTATGTTGACCCTTGAACTAATCTAGGCTACCTTTCAGAAGCAAAAAAACAAACACAGTTCCAGGAACAGAATTTTATCCCTTCTGTCTTCTGTAGTAATGTTCACCGGATTTGAAAGTCACATGGCTGAAGGCAGCACCAAGTGCAAAGGTCAGATTTCCAAGAGGATGATTAAGGAACACCATTAACAGATTAGCAAAACTCCTGTTAGGCACTGACAACACAAATCACCAAAATACCCTGGACTCATGAGATTCCTCATCAAGCCATAACGCTTTTATCAAAATGTCATTGGATATAAACACGTTTGTCTCTTTCATTTGCATTTATTTTCTGTGCATTGCAAGCTATAAATCTTTTCTCCCTACATACAACACACTTTTTTACCTCAATCCCATGAACACTAAGGCATGTGCATGATTTTATGCACAGGTGGTAACTCATTATTATTTATCTAAGTTATTCACTGGAGTGCTTCCAAAACTGGAATCTCAGACATTTAATTCTCAGCCTCTTTTTTACCCCTTCCTGAGTAGAAGCAGACTTGAATACAGGAATTTTCTATAACCTTTTCTGTTATAATTTGATTTGTTTTCACAGAAACTACCAACTATGTATGACCATTTCCTGCCTTGCCTAGCAGAGTTGAAAGATATAAATGTGACAAAGCTCTTATGATTTTCTTATTAATAGTAGTTTTGTAACCAGTTATGCCTGACTATTACTATTAAAATTATATTTCCTACATTCTTGTTTTGACAAAGGCATGAGAAGGCTATTGCTAGGTGCGGTATGTAAAACAAAGCAAAGCAGAGGGAATTAATTTCAGCTTAGCATAAAATCACTCTGGGATCTCCCTGTACTTCTGCTAGGGAGAATTGGTGGAATTGAATTCTCAAGATATGAACAATTCTTCCCTTAATAAATTGGCCAAAACTTTTCCCTGAAACTGTTTAACAAGAACTAAAATTTATGTTCTATCCAGCTCTTGCCATATTAAGTTCTTTCCTTCACATAAAAAAATAGACAAGAAAGCAGATTTGTAAGGGTCTTGAGGCTTTATAATGTTTGCACAATATGGAGGAACATGACAATCATCATTTTACTGTCTTTCAGCCTGAAGCAGAAGTCACAGACTGATTCAAGTGGCACAAAGGACTGAGTGTTGAAAAGAAAGCAAGAAACTTGCAATTAATACAGAACTTAGCACAGCAAATTGAAAAACTTAGTAAGAGGCAGACTGAACTTCTGTCAAAATTGTATTTTGTGCTACTCTGCACAAGCACACACAGTAGAGGAAAAAAGGATTAAAAAAAATATCTGGAAGTTTTCCCCAGATAATTCACAGAACAAAGAACAACTCTTTGGCCCACAGAGGTATGATGCTAGCCAGATATCATTAGTGTGCAGAAGAATCAAGACTAGCTACTACACTTCTGTACACCCAAATACAAATTACTTTAGTTATGTTAAGATGAAGGCACTAAAATGGAGCCAGACTGTCTGTCTGTGGACTTTTGTACCAGACTGGTCCATCCATTGGAATGCCTCCTGGGAGACTAGATAAAAGTGTCCTGGGAGGACCAATACTTAAATGTCTTGATCGAGGGGAGAGTAACTTGAATAAAACCCCAAAAGCTCAGTGTCCATTAGTAGAGGAGATGTACTTAATACCGTCTTGGAATGTCAGGTTTCAGCACATGTTCAAAAGAATTTCATTTCTTGGGAAAAAAACTGCAAACACCAAAGTGACTTTAATAAAACCTTGGAAAACAAAGAGATAAATAGACTGCCAGGTAGATTTATTGTGACAGGAATTTGCACGCACGAAGCCTTAAAAATAAGCAAGAAAACAAGCAAAATTTTAAGAAGTTATTTTCAATGGGTGGCTGTCCTGCACAGACTTAAAGCAAAACTGACCTCAGGAAAAAGTGGAAATGCTGACATTAAGTATCAATGTTTTAGCCTAAAGCGACTTCTCTATATTATGTAGGAATCTCAGATTTAAGTTCAACCCTCACTCTCTCATAGGGGACACTTGTCCCAGGAGAAATTCATGTGGGTGGTGATGGAGGAAGAGAACACTTCTCTTCTTGATAACCATAGCTGGTGGCTGATGAAGGGAAACTCACGTACTCCATAGGGAGTTTCTGCTCCATGCTCTCTAGAAGGCAGTAGGAAAATCACCTCAGAGGTCTCAGACAAGGAGGGAGTGAATGCAGAGGGCAACTGGAGGTGATGAGAGATACACTATTAATACAGGTGGACAAGAGAATTTTTATGAGTGATTTTGGGAATGCCATCATGGGTGTTAATGGTGACAAAGCTTTTTTGTTTAATAACCAGACAAGCAGACAGTGAGCAGTAAAAAACTTCTGAGCCCTTTCCAAAGAAGAGCACATGGTATTTAATGAGGCTTCCCTGACAACTTTCTGTGATTTCCAATTTTATAAAAAAATGGCAAAGTATGATCATCAAGTGTGGATTTGTTTTGATTTTTGCGCTTGGAAATCATATTCTCCATCTTCTAAGGTCAGAAAGGAATTTTATTCTTCTTATAAAGAGCTGCACTTTGAGTCACAGCATTAATCTTTGAATCCTCACCCTCTGGATTGACCTGGGAGAAATGAATAAATGCTTGGAGCTAGAAAAACTCCAGCTTAATCATCCTTCAACCAGCAAGAATAACTGGAATGCAATGGAACAAAGAATACACACTGTTCACAGGGAATAAGAATGTACCTCATAAACTTTCAAGAGATGATGACATCTCCTAACAGATGTCCTGTCACATCAACCAATGCTCACTTAAGAGCCCAGCATTGTAGAAAACCTTATCTGTCAGCTGGTGCTCAGCTGCAAAACCCATCATCATCCACACAAGTCACAATGTAACAGCTCCAATGCCAATGTTCACAATTTGCTACTGCAGTAAGTAATTAAAAGTAGAAGTGTACTGCTTTCATGAAGAACAATGCAGATGAGCAAATGACTGGAAAAGTGAGAGGTGATCTTACTACTGGAAGGCAGCACAGCTTTCCTGAAACCTAACACAGGTGTAGTGTAGTTTTTATTCTATGTTAGCCCAGTAGAATAACCAATACACCAAAACCCAGAGAGAAACAGCCACAGGTAGAAAACAGCAAGGCATGGGATATTCTCCTGGGAAAGCTCTATATTTTAAATGCAGAAATGATACACTGGCCAAATTCTGGACAAACCTCTCCCAGTTCAGTTTGGTTTAAAGCTATACTCTACTGGCACCCAGATAAGCAGCAGCAATTTGCCCCATTTCTAAAGAGATGCTTACAGTTGCATCCTTCAGCAAATCACTAATTCTGTTTTAGCATGCTTATTATAAAATTTTGACATCAAATAAGTATCCTAGAAAATTTTGACATCAAATAATTATCGTTCCATGCAAAGTGCTGAACAAGCATATACCCAGGAGAGTGTCCATTCTCAGCTGCATAAATCCTTAGACATAAGTCAGAAATTTGCTGTTCTCTTGACAAATACACAACCTGAAACTTGCCTACTGGATCCAGGCCTTCCAAATTATCTCTGGCAATGAAAGCCCTCCTTGCCTAAGGAGATGCTGGTTTAACTTTCCTTTTTCTCTTCTACTCCAACCACTTGTTAAACTGTAGAAATCTTTTGAAAGTGTTTATTTCCAGATACAGCTGCAGCTCTCTAGTGCTCCTGCACTCACATGTGGATCCCTATGCCAGGCCATAACACACTGCACCTCCTCTCACGGCATCCTTGTTCAGCCTGAACTGCAGCAGAACAGAGAGATTAAAAGACTAATTCCTGATTTTTTTTTCACCTGGCACTTGAAAAAAACAGGAAAAAGCTGGTGAAAAAAAAGGAATGAAGGTTTTTATGTCAATGAGTACATGAGAAAGAACTGAAAGTCAATATCCTTCTAAGTATGAAGTGAGAACACTTGGTATAAGAAGTTGCCTACTCTTAAAGCAACAGTTGCATTAATGACATGCTATTCTCATGTAAAAAATTAAAAATGGGAGAAGGGGAAAATTCTACTTGTACTGCAAGGCTTTTTTTTTTTTTTTTTGTTTTTTTTTTTTTTTTTTTGTTTTTTTTTTTTTTTGGTGTAGTTTCTCTTTTTTTGTGAGTACTTGATTATTTTATACAAAAATGGGCACGTGAAATATATGTGGAAGAACATGGTTTTCACAGCTGAGCATCTGTGTGACATCAGATGCCTTTACTTTTTAAAATCAGACAGCAAATCATCACAGTTAAAAAATTTACTCTCTCCACTGCTTTACACTACCCTGTTTCTTTTTTCATTGTTAGGCAACAATTTTATACCACCTTTCCAAGACAAACAGTTCTCTCAAAAATTTTGAAAGACCAATGTGGTAACAAGACTTCTGCTGAAGCCTCACAATTCTTGGATCATTTACTCTCATAGCAACCCAATTCTCATAACAATCCAATCTTCAGTCTGGATTAAGACCTTCTATACAGATGGAAATCACATGCAGAAAAGATAAGGGCCATATGTGCCAAACATGTCATGCACCAGAGCTTAGTGAAGTCTATCTGGGGGATTGTTCACTTCTCCCATTTCTAACCTCTTAGGCACTTAGGCTGAGACACATCCCACCTCAAATTTGGGCAACACTACAATGAGATGCAAAAGCTAAAGCCTACCCATTATAAGCTCTTCCTGTATTCCCTTTCCTACTGCTCTAGCTTTCTTGCAGTCAACAATATTTATATTTGACTTGCACTGGTAATAATTCATCACACAAGTTCTATGTAAATATGGCAATGGCAGTCACTGCAGCAAGGAAAAAACCTACTACTTTTATTTTATAGGGTTTGGAAATGAATACCTTTCCCTGCTTGTGTGGATGTCACCTATCAGCACCAGGAAAAAAAAAAAAAAAAAAAGAGAGAGAAAAAAGAAAAAAGTCAAAGAGGATATTACTTAAGAATTCTGTAATTCTGCACCTTTTGCTGCTTTGTCATCCATGACACTTGATATTTGTTTATTGTTGTTATCTCAGTAGTATAACTACATTAATTTCACTAACCCTTGAGACATTTTTGGTTTATGTAAGACTTTATCTGCTGTCAGTACTACTGTCTGTAAATATGCCATTACTAATTTACCAAGAGAAATTACATTTCTGTTGCTGTTTCCAAGACAGTTTTCAGAGTTATCCACAGATGTTTTGTGAGCTACAGAATGTGCTCTCATTTTTAAAACTATGTGTTACAGTTGATTTAGGAAACATCCAAAGGGCACAATCAAAAAAGACTGAAAGGAATAACTTTATCACTCTGCCAATTCAGGAAGTCCTGTGGTAGTCTATGGGCTACTCTCAAAGTGATACAAAAGTTCATGTTCAGCTAGGTTTCTCTCTTGTTTTGATAACTATTCATTGGAAATGGCTCTGACAAAGTCACTGTTGTTACAATGTCTGAAAAACAGCAGAAGAGGATTTTTTGACAGAGTACTGAGAAGTGCACAGATTTGGCACTGGGAAGCTGCAAAGCAAGGAAGGCTGTTTTTTACATGACACGAGTACCTATCCTTATCTTAGAATTCCAGAAATTCAGATTTTGCACTTGGCCTGTGACTTTTCCTGTTAACTTTCTTTTTTAATAACCACAAAAGGTTGATTGCATGGAAGACTGGCCCCTCTCTGGTTACAATCCACAGGTCCTGGCTTTGGACATTTCTAACCCACTGGTAGGGGAGGGGGTTGTGAAAAGCATTTCTGTAATCTGTTTCTCATACCCTTTTCTCAAGCATGTGATTCTGGCTGGAATAAAGATGCTGAAAACATGCTAAACAAGCCCCTTATTCAAGACAACATAGACATGGTTATGCTCTTAAAAAGAAATACCTTTGCATTAATTTCACTTGAACAGCACAGCACAGAGAAAACAATATATGTACATACTGACATCCCCTTTGTCCATTTTCCTCTTTCCACACATTTGTTTGATTTTTTGTTTTATCCAGGCCCTTAGCTCTACTTCTCCCATTAGTCTGCTCCTGTTGCTACACACCAGACCCTTCTCACCTTGTCCAAGCAGGCATTCCCTGGACTCCCAGCAGCAGCTCCTGAGCTCCTGCAGTCTGCCACTGCCTCTCTTTGCCTCCCTCACTCTTCTTCCTGCTCTCCCACTCACTGCTCTGTGACCTGAACTCCTTTTGGACTCATTGGAGGGGAGAGAATGCTTAAAACTACTTGGGAGAGGGTTTCACTCCCCAACATTACTCACCCCAGAGCCAGCCTAAGGAACCAAAAATTCAGTGAAAAAGGTGGACAGTCAAAGAACATCTGCAGCTGGTATTGAAGTAAGTCAGACCCTTACTCATCCTATTCATAAATTTCCTGGTAAATTCACCCACCAGCCCAGTTTATTCTTTCTTCCTCTACTGTTCCAGATTCTGTCAGTTTTTTCCATTTGTACACTTCATCTATTATCTCCCTGCAGTGTCTTCCAACGCATGTCAGGAACCTCATCCTTGTTCCTCTATAAATTCTTGTTCCTCTTATTTGCAGCATCTGCTTCAGCCCTGCCTCATATACTGTATTTAGGGTCTGTGTCTCATTCCTCTCCTAGACTTCTTCATAGTAACCCTCTGAGAATGGGGTTCACTCTACAATTCACCTCTAACTTCACCCACAAGAGCCATAAAGAACACAGAGGTGAAAAACATGTACATAGTCAGGCCAGATAGCTGCAGAAGTGACACAAAATTCACAGCTCACATACCTTGCCATACTTCTGTGCATAGGATCCTGTAAGCAGCGAATGAAAAACTATGATTGTTTCATCCAAATCCCAAACAAATACACGCTGAAAGCAGAATAGAGGAAAGTATTACTGCACAAATAATATCACAGTCCCACCACCACACCACCCAGGAAGACTAAAATTCAACTGACTCTAAAAGTTTAACCAAGTACTTATTAACTGAGCAGGTTTTCTATGAAAATCAGCAATAACAGTGTATCATGCATGGTAAAAAGTCGAAAGGCAGTAACTTTTTAACTCTTCAGCTATTTCTTATTTGTTCTCTAAAAAAGCTTTCCACAAAAGCTCTGTAATACAGATTTCAGAAATGCGATTGGGGATCAAACATAATTGTTAAGGATAAACAGTACTTTAAGATATTTCTCTGCAAGTCTTACTGATTCAATATTCTTTTTATTTCTAATGTATAACCAAAATCTTGGGTAAAAGTGCTATATGCCACTGCCACATAGAATTTAAATAATACTGTAGATAAACCAGATTATTTTAACTCAGTTTCATTCATTCAATTTCACTTGTTTTGATTCTCACTGGTAAAAATAATAAATTTAAAAAAACCCCAACCAACCAAAACAAACCCTGAAATGTTAAGAAGTTAGTTTTTTTCACAGGAAAAATTAAAAAAAAAAAAAAAAAAAAAAAAAAAAAAAAAAAAAAAAAAAAAAAAAAAAGTAAGTTTCTGTATAGAAGCAATGGCATTTACACTCAGATCCTGGTCCTGCTATGCCAGGCTGTGTGGTCAGCCAAGTAGCCAAGTCCCAGTAACAATTTTAGTTTGTATCCAGGGCTGGTCAGTGAAGGCAGAGCAGTGGGGCAGGCCAGGGCTGCTGGCTCGCTGTGCTGCTCTGGTGGCAGCAGGGGACACATGGCACTGGCAGGCAGCACAGCACGTCCCTGGTGCCACAGCTGGAGTGTCACACACACACAGGCACTCTGCTTCCTCCTGCTGCTCCTGCCACTGCAAGGCACAGCCATAACTTCACTGAGGTAAGCTCCTCACTGAGATCTGCTGATATAATTTACAAACACAAGCACAAACTGGTGCCTAAATATTTAAAGGGCTATGGCTGGGTGATCCTGCATATTTACACTGAATCCATAAATACGTGTAATTAAGCTGAAAGATACATTTGAGATTTCTTATTTCAAAAACTAAAAGAAAATGTGGCACTTTTGAGTACAGGCTTGTGGTTCTATTGCACAAGAAACTGACAGACACGTAATGCAGAACAGTCAAGTTTCACCATAGACTAAAACAGCTACTACTCTCTGTTACCTTCAGTTAGTAAGACTGAGTCCATAATGTCTTCTAAAATGCTTTAAGCTATTTTCACAGCTGCAGTATTCAGAATTTACACTTCATCAGAAGAAACCTCCACATTACCGTCCATCAATTACCACAAACATACCTCCAAGTCACTGTCCGGAGGGGGTGATGGATTATTCTTCCGCCCTCTACCCCGAGACTTTGACCCAGAACTCCTACATGTTCTCTCATCAAGATCTTTGATTGGCGTGGAGGGGCTCTGCACTGTGTCAAACTCCCCTGTAGAGGCAACCATTCATGCCAAAATTAGTCCTGGATTTTTAAATAATCAACTTTTTTCCCTCAAAGTTCAACATGTCTGTATGCCAATGACAAGAGACATGTAAAAATGTAGTATAAAAAGAATGATAATGGGGCTTGTCTTAGGTAGGTGGGATCAGCAGATGCCACACACACACTTTTGGCTTTACCAATAGCTTTACAGTATAAACCTTAGCAGAATAAGACAAAAATTAAAATGACACATATACATGTGCATATACACAAATACACACGAGCCCAGAAAAAATATCAATATATCCAAGACAGGGGTATTTTAGAAGTCATACTAATGGTTTCTCAAAACATGAAGCGCTTTTTAATTAAAGTAGTTAATTTCCCATGTTTTCAGTTCAGCTAGACTTATTTCCAAGTCCTGCTTTACTTTTACCAGAACACACTTTGGCACTAATCCATGATCCAGAACAGCCATGCAGCTTTCAGTTTCATGTTCTCCTCCCGTGTCACCTGCTCTTTAGTCAAGTTCACTTTTTTTCTTCACCATACCTCAGCCCATAAATTGTCAGAGGAAAGCCATAATATTAAAAGCAATATTCCTGTTAGTACCTGAAAGAGGATGAAGTTATACTTGCTGTGCTCTGATTGTCTTTCCCAAAGTATGAGGCATTGTGGGCTGTCACAGAGATGTACTGGAAGGGTTTTTGACCTGGTATGGCATAGCTGGTCTTAACCACACTCAAGCCCATCCCTGACTTATCCATTTAATGAAGCTTAGCATCTTCAGCTTTCAAAACTTCGATGAATAAATGCAGTTTGGCTAGGTTCCTGAGTGCTAAATGACAAATAAACCCTCCTTCTTCATTTATCCTATTAATAATGATTTGATTTTTCTCCAGTAAAGGAGGAAAGGGTACGGCTTTGATCTGACATTACTACAGATTTTGATTCAAGAGAGTCCTTGAGCTGTCTGTAATTGAGCATTCCTGGGCCACGGGTAATATTTGTTAAAAGTGCTCATGATGGCAAATATGCAGAATACATTAACACTTAGTACAAACATTTGCCAAAAATCACCTACGATGCATCTGATTTTGACTTGGAATCTAATTTTTCGTTTTTAATTTTTACTAAAGAGCATCAGAAGGTGTCTAGCAGATGAAGGAGACAGATTTCTCTTCTCTCTTCTGAATTTGCAAGACCACATCTGGAAAAATGTGCAGTTTTGGGTCCCCAGGTAGAAGAGAGATATTATCAAAACTGGAGTTAGTCCAGGTGAGGGTCTAACTGTCTTTACAACAGTTAAGGGGGCTGAGCATGTAGTAAAAGAGGCTAAATGACTTTTCATAGAGATGTGCAGAGAAAGGACAAGACACAGGCAGAAATCCCTAAAGAATGGGGAGAGTAGACAGTTCTTGTTGACTACTCATTTCTATTCCCGGCATGGTGTTGATGTCAGCAAGGTCACAGCAGGCAGTGGAGCAATCAATAAGGATCACATTATCTTGGCTCTTTCCCCATAAAAACAGCAAAATGTACTTGGGTAATTACAAATGTACAAGAGGCATCCAAATCAGAATCCCTATGCAGCAAAAACCTACAATGGCCTTAAAATAAGTTCCGAGTGTGCAAGAGCTCAATGCAAAAATAGTTTCCTAAATTTTTCTAGTGGAGTGGAAAAATTGTAAGAAACCAAACCTCCAGAAAGAAAAAGCAAAAGCTAAGAAAGTGAAGATGAATGTTTACATTCTTACACAAAAGTCTTATTTATAACACTTCAAGACATTACAACACAATCAAGACTCATTTCCACAGTAATGTATTAAAACATCTGTTCTCAATGAGTGTGTTTATTCTGATCTACCAAAAATAAAATACAAAAAAAACCCTGTTCTAAATCTTCTCTGAAATTACCCAACAACTGAAGTAAATAAATCTGATTTTCATTTAGCATTAGCCATTACCAGTTGCTCTAGGCTTCTGCTTGGGTCAATGCTGTATATGATTGCATAATTATCTGTTAATCAGTACTGTAACTAATCGCTGTTCCTTGTAAAATCTAGATATTTAAAGCCAACTTTATTTCATTACACTAATCTCTAAATCAGAATGAGCAGCTGTCTCTTACTTGAATGCAAGGTATGCATCTATTTTAGAACTGCAGAAGTCAGTGGTGCTTGTTTTTTTTAAACAACTGTAGGCTTAATTACTTGATTTGCTTTTTACCTACAGCAGTTTAAAGGAGAAAGACCACTTTTCTAATCCTCTGTTTGCTTTAGAAACGAGGTCAATGCTGACAAAATGAAAACTTATTAAAAATTCAACCTTGCAACATAAAAGAATGTGAGAAATTCTAGTACCAAAGAGTATTGAAAACATTACCATCATGAAGAGCTCCTACTGCAGCTCATAATAGAAAGAAATTTTTATTACAATGTTTGAAATTTTTTAGCTTTTTCAGTATTTAAGACATGCCTAATGAATATACCTCATAGCCTCTTCCCACTGGGACTGTGACCAGTGCCAGTGATCCAAGAAAACAGGAGGAAAACGTTAAAACCAGAATATGGAATGACCTCTTTATCATAGCTGTTCTTATACATATTCATACATTTGTCCAATATGAAGCTTTTCATGCTGTGGAGACTTTGCAGCAGCTCCAGTTAGAGCACAGGGAATTACAGCACCAAGCTACAAAAGGAATTACAGCACCACACTGCAAATGGAGGCGGTCTTTCATATCCAGGACATTGTTTCCCACCTCTAGCTAGATGACGTGAATATCCCCTCCTCCTTGTTAAAATACAGTTCTATGACTTAAGAAGGAAAAAAAGATTTTGTGCAGTCTGAATATAAACCTAATGCCATCTCCCAGAGAAGGCAAATGGGGCAAAGTCACCTGCAAAAGATTACTTCATTGTGGGTACCAAATTAAGCTTTGCTGCATCCCAGAAAGCTTAATTAATGGAACAGGAGCTAATATTTTATGGTGATTTGCCTCCCCTAACCCTGGACATAGGATAGCAAGGTGCCTTCACAAGAAGCTTTTATCCAGGCCTATATTCTCTGCTAGAGTTTTATTTGCCCCAGATTAAATGTACTCATGTATTCATCAAATATACTTAAGCGTATTTATCTCCTGAGACCTCACCTCCCATCCATCTGAGCTATCCCTGTTTGAGATGAAGTGCTCTAGGAGACACCTATTTATCTCACAAATACTCTGTGCTAATGAATGCATTTTGAAAAATCTTAATTTAAGGCAGGCTCAATGCAAGCTCGGAAGAGAAGTCCCTGATTTAAGGAGCTGAGCGTTACACAAATGTAGAATGGATGAGTTTCTGAGCCCCTTCATACTTTCCTTATGGATTGACTTTTGTTACATATCCTTACCAGACAGAGCAGACAGAAGACAGCTTCGTTACAGGCCTGCTTTTCTTTTTTTTTTTTCCTCTGACTTGTAGTGTCTTATTGCTTGTCATGAATAGCAGAAAGAGGAGTAAAGTCTATTTCAATTTTCATCTCATTTTCTTTACACAGTCAACAAATAAAATTGTAGCTGGTATTAACTCCTGATCTGATGGGGATTTATTATGCAAATGAGAAATTCTGTGCAGATAGTACTAGAGGCTTTGATTAGATATTTGAATTAACAGCTAGTAGAGTTGCCAGAAGAATTATGTGCCTTGCTGTGTTTAGTCTTAGGCTTTTGTTGGAGTAAGTCTTAAGGACTTGTCTGACAGCAAGCAAACACAGTGAGTGCTAAAGAACTGCGGTATGATCTATGATATCTGAAATGATCTCTAAGACACTGCCCCTCACCAATGGAAATTTATTTTTACTGTGACACAGAAGGGCACAGGCATGTCATGCATTCATAAAGTGGGTGTTTCACTCTCAGCAGAGGGCTGCATGATCACTGCAACCCTTCACAGAAATAAGGAGCAGACGGGGGCGGATTTGTTAAACTCAAATGCACAACCTATTTAACAAGAGAATAAGCTCATATGCTTAAACAATCCACAACCAAGAAAAACCTTTACTGTTTCACAGATGTGAAGCCTGTGAATACTTTTTCAACATGTTCAAACTATTTAAGATTTCTCTTTTTTTTGCCAACTCTATTCAATACTAATGGTACTTGTAAAAATACATGATACATTTACACAGCATTCTAGGAAACAGACACCTAGGGGAGAAACAACATGGGAAACTGATTTTCTCAAATAAGAATATGAAGGAATAACAAAGCAGCAAGTGAAAGTACACAGGACATACACAGTTATCAAAACATGCAACTTGTGAGTACACTGCACACTCTTTTAAAAATTCTTTACATTGATTTGTGTCTGCTATAGATATCCTCCACCTGTTGAAATTTCACTTGATTTCACATTACCTTTAGGTTCTTCCTAGATTTGCATTCTGAGACTGCTGAATAACATTGCAATTTTCATTATAAATCAAGGGAATATGTATGTCCCCATCACTCTTCCATACCACATCCATATCCATATCCATATCCATATCCAACCATACCCCACCACAAACATACACCCACAAACACATGCACTGTTACATTTTAAAAATCAGCCTGAGGAAAACATCTGGGTAGGAAAAGTTTCAACTAATTTAGTTAAAATTTCAGTACTTTTAGCAAATTTAAGCAGTATATATTATGTGTGAGTCCTTGCTTACACTTCTCTCCACAGTGTTACCTTTACTTTGTGCAAATTCATTACAAAAATACATTAGACTTTCTAATGTATTTTTCAATAAGTTGATGCACTTTTTAGGAAGATCTATGCAATAAGGTGATCTTGTGACTAAAGCAAAAATTCCTCCCCTATTCAGAGCCTAATCCAAAAGCCAGTTTGTTAGTCTTTTTAGAAACGGCAGACACTGCCCACACTGGCTGAGTGAAGCCGGTGTCCTTGAAAGAGACTGCTCTAAGAGTGCTGAAGAATTAAAAACTGCCACTACCCTCCAGGGATGTCCTAGGAATGCAAGTAGCAGCTACAGTGCTGTGGTGGCTGTGCACAAGAGGGCAGGGCTGGGCAGGCAAAGGGAGCCTCTGCATGTCTCCTGATAATGCTCTTCTTGCAAATTCAGCTACTTCAGTACAATATTTTTTATGGTGCTAATAACTAATTCCTCTATTCTTGATTACTTAAATTAGTTAATTAGCAAGCATGGCTTGCACACATTTGAATAAAGCCCATGTGCTCTTGCCAGCGTGGCTGAGGTATAATTAAATGAAAAACAGTATCTTGTTTAAAATTCTTCACAGCAATACTTCAGAATGTGTAGGTTGGGAACAGCACTGTCCCACTGCCAGTGATACAGACAACCATCTCAGTCTGCAAAAAAATTTCTTTAATTAGCAAACAAACTGGACAAGTTTCCTAACTAAACAGTAAAATAACTTATTTTGGGTGATTTATATGACAAAGTTTTTTGAAAGGCATGAGTGTAAGATATCAACATCCATGCAAGCTGAATATGGAAACCTTTTCTTTATACAAACAGCGAATAAAATACAAAAAATTGTTTTCACCTGAATGTAGATCTGTACCTGGTTGACTGGTCAAGCCAGGGAGAGAGTCCTGTAATTGGTAGGTTGATGATGATGAAGTGCCATCAGCCGTGTTGTTTGAGGTCATATATGCACCATATGTTGATGCTGAGTAATACTGTGCATACTGATTTTGGCCAAAAGCTGTGTATGACGAATAATCCTGAAACAGCAGATGCATCAGAGCACTTAATTAAGTGAGTAACTAGTAGTAAGTGAATTTTTTCCCATTAAATATTTCTAACTGTACAGTCATATGACTTTTGCTATTGTTTTGAAGGTTTTGTTTAGTTTATTTTTTTAATTTTAAGAATATTTAGTGCCTTTTAATTTAAAGATATTTACTAAAAGACTACTGGTAAGCTGGAAATATTTAAGTGCTAAAATGTGTAACTAGGCTTCCAGTAAGATTTTGATAATTTTCCACAGAAAATAGCATTAAACCACAGTGAGTCTCATTCAACATAACAGATCTAAATTAAAATAACATGCTATCTCTGGAGTTATATAAGTCCTTTTGTAACTGGCAAAATAAAAATGGTAATATTCATACCTGTTGTGAACTACTGAAGTTTGTAGAATTTGAAACAGAATTGTTTGAATAAATAGTGGACGATGGTGTGAAACTAGAACCTAAAATTAAGAAATACAATTAACTGTGAGAACTTGTTAGTCAATCAAAATAAAATTCTAATTAGAATATTCCATGTGAAGATGTAGATGAATCAGGACAAAAAAAACCCACTTTTATTTTCCATTAGAAGTATAAAATGTTTTAATGAAACTTTAGAAGAAATGAAATACTACTTCCACGCACACATTCCTCTCCGCACCATGCAAGAAAGATATCAGCAGTAAGTCATCTCACCAGTTTAGAAAGCATTTTCAGTTTATTGCATTCTCACCTCTCCTCAAACACTGTTTTCCTCTTTTGCCTTAATTTCTCATACTTTAGTGTTATGTTTGCGAAACAAAAACCTTTTCAAAATACTATATCCGGGTGTTTTTAATAAATCTGTAATGAGGCATGTCCTTGTTTTCAACATAAATCAGACGATTCACATTGCAGTTTGTAATATGCAAAAGATTGACCATTGTATGAGAGGCTTAAAAATTATCCAAATAAAATAGGTTATCGATGATCACTGGGTAATCAATGAATTATTAACTGAATAGTAAATGAAAGAATAAGTATTAATTAAGGAGAAATTCTAAAAAAGTATGTTAATCCAAGGAGAAACACCTCAGGAACACTCAGGAACATAAAAAAACAAGGAAAATAAACTTGTATATATTAGTAAATATAACAAGTGCTTCCAGTCCTGCCATGAAGAAAATTAGTGGCTTTCACTCCACTAAAAATCCAAAAGAAGGCTCAAGTAGGGACTGCTTCCCTACTTGATTCCATGTCCAGATCTGAAGTAACAGATGATTAAAATAAATAGCACTGGGAAGAAATAGCTTTAAATTGCAGAGGTGGCCACTCACCTGGCATCTGGTAGGAGTAGGGTGTTTGGCCTGGCTGTGGGGTGGAAAACCCTGGGCTGTAACTGAGGCACCCGCTCTGCAGAGGAGATTGGGTCTGCGAGAGCCCACTTTCCGTCTTGATGCCTGGCAACATTACACCCAAATCTGTATAAGAAATTAATTTTCAACTGATTCTTTAAAATATTTTGTTACAGTTGGGAAAACAAAAAAGAGAAAGCAAAAGTGACATTCCAGTCGGCATTGCTTTTAGTTGTAGGTAAAGTGAAGTAAGAAGTGGTCAAATACCGTAAGTAGGCAAGCTGTAGGGCTGTCCTGTCTGTGAGTAGGCTGTATAGACCGCTGGCTGCTGCATTCCCGAATACTGCGTTTGTCCGGCATAGGCAGACATTGTTTGAGCTGCTGGTGTAGAAAGAATGTGCGGATAGGGCCTAAATATCAGGAAAAATAGCATTACTGTGGCAACAAATACTTTGTATGTTGATTCAAGCAATAAAGTAAAGAAAAAGGTTTAAAGATGTCCAAAGGCAGTTCATTATTCTGCCAACTGCTCCTCTTCTGGGATTTATTCCATCCCCCACTGGAATAAGCTGAAAGACACTCTGTCCCACATTCCCCAAGGCACAGTGAATATTTTATGCTGTCCCATCACTGCAATTTAATTCTTAAGCTAATGTGTCCACTTTTGGGTGGGCTGTGCCACTGCTTCATATCTTTATATGGATTTAACGTCTTTCAGCCGAGATCAGAACATTTCAATTAGAAAAGCCCCCACACTTTTTTAATCCAGTGGAGGGAAACTTGGACTAGAAGAATGGAGGAAACACAGAGGTGAATGTTGAAGCTAGTACATTATGTCATCTGTGTAAGTTCTGCTTCAACAGACATGTAGCCTCTAGCTTCAATGGCAGATGGATCCTACCCATGGAGATCAGCATAAAAAATACTGACACCAATATTTTGGTAACCAGATGGGCTTTAAATGTTCGGAAAATATGGGCTAGGAAAATAGAATGGAAATGAAAATGGTCTTTTATTTATGAACACTGAGGTTTTATAGAGAGATTGAATAAAATCAAGTTTAAATTTTTTTGCCCTCCAGAGTTGCAAAAATATACAGAGAAACATTTTTCTTGGATTGTTTTGTAAGTCAAATAAGACTTTATGGACCAAGAGTTGAATAAACACACTCTGCTGAATTACGCTAACTGAAACCTGGCCATTAAAAGCCAGGACTAAATTTCAGATTCCAATTTTTAATTTTTTTTAATTTCTAATTAATTCAGTATAGTTGGCAGCATTTACTATCAGAAAACGATTACTCATTGATTTAGACGCCAAAAAATTGTAACAGTAGATTGAAAATTCTATTAAACCTTGTAATGTATTTGGCCAAAAGTACCTAATATAATTTGCCAAAACCTGTTCAAATTGGAATGATGGCTCTTACTTCAGGCACCTACACTCTGTATTAATAAATTTTGGTGATCATCATAAGATTGCAAATTTGTTAAAAAAAAAACTCGAAAAAGCTTAATTAGCTCTTGAATCTTTAGATTCAATGTTTCCTCTGTACCAAAGTCACACTGATAGCTGTATCAAATAAATGGAAACAAACAGATGGCATACTGGAATCAAGAACCCTCGTGCACAACACTGATCACAGGACAAGCAAACTAATATGCTGCCAACTGCAGCAGTTTCATACAACGTCTTTGGTGTTTCTTCCTAAAGTTCCCACTCTTGGATTTGTGTGATTGCCCAAGAGTCAGTTTCCATCCACCAAAAAAAAAAAAAGGCATGAAGAAATTTTCTATTTCTAACAACATCCGTTGGCTTAAAAGTAATAAGATTAAAAGCTAATCCAATTTATTTGATTTTTAAATCTTATGATATTGGAGAGGAACAAGGAAAGGGTGGTTCATGATTGTGGAATGTTTGGAAGCGTTTGGCAATGCTGGCCTTGGAAGGGTCAGGGACAGGGTTACCCCCCAGTATGCAACTTGTGCATGCAATTGTGATTTCTATATATAAACTGACTTCTCCAAAATATATCTGCATATATTCCCCACACATGCTGTTAATATGCTGATGTCTGAGAATGCAATAGTCTGATTATTTTACTTCTGTTGTGTGCTGATATTCAAGGGTGTTTCTTGTGCAGCAATACTGCACAAAGCAGAATCTTACTCTGCAGACACACGAGGAAAAAAAAGTTGGAGAGGGAGCCAGTACCGGAGCCAGTACCATGGCTTAAGAATTTTCCTTTTCCTCTGTTTCTCCTGCTGAACACTTGTTTGCAACAAACCACAAAACTGCCCACAGCCAAGGTCTATGAAAGACTAGAAGAGGTGCAGACACTAACTTGGAGGGATATATCTGTGGAGAGTACTGGTGCGCTGATCTGGGACTGTAGCCACTACTTGTTATTACTGCAAAACAGAAAACAAGAGTACAGCAGTTAGAAACACCATGAGACCCACACAGCCACACAGTGTGAACTAAAGCAGCAACATTAACAGAGAAGCCTATTGAAATGGACAGCTTTTCAAGGAAGCAGATGTCACCTGTACCAAAACATTTAAAAAAAATTAAAAATTTCCAAATCTTTCTCTGGTGTGCAGAACTCTTTAGTTAGCATGGGTATGTTCACACTTTCTCAACTTGACTAACACTTTTCTGAGTATATTGCAGAGGCATGTATTTCATACATTACCTGTGATCCGCACACTGTTGATCTTTCAAATTTGCAAGTTGTATTAAAAGGGGTAGTTAAACAGAATCTTGTGATCTAACATATTTCAGGGGATTGAAGTAACATACACATACCTTTATAGTCTCACATTAAAAAGAAGTTCAGTTTAGGAAAAGCATGTTTTTTATGTTTGTGACTAATTTTAGTTAGCTTAGGTGATGGAAGATACTGCATTGAGCAGTAGAAAGCAACTACCATTCTTTATAAACAGGCCAATTAGAAGATAACCCTTAACAACAGCATTTTTATTTTAAAGTATGCATAAACAGTCCTGTTCAGTAGCCATCCAAATTGTGTGTATCTATACTATTCACAGCTGCATTCTCCAAGAAAGCTAACAAAACAATAGCCATAACCCATTAAAATTTCATCCAGAAGCAGTGCTCACACTGGATTAATTCCAAGTGTTTGGAAGTTTCCCTTTCCTTTAGCCATCTGTCTTGACTAAGACAGATGTATTCCAAATATATGTACTCTAAAGTGTTGAACCAATCCCTTCAGAGCAAATCCATACTGGGCAAACATACAGAGTGTCTTTATTAGGCCATCTGCTGTTCATTCACTTTTCAAAAGATTAAAGTAGTACACAATGAAGCACTGGAATTTCTTTAGTCTAATCAATCATAGTTGTACTTCAAAGTGTACCCTCTTCCTGAGTTATTCCTAATGGTAGTAGAAATGAACATTCAGAATTTTATAAGTGACAAATAGGTTTAGGTTCCTAACTATTTTATGAAACATGATACATTTCTACATCCAGCCCTAATTAATGTCTCTCAGATCTACTGCTTTGAACACACAGAGAGCTTCATATTTTTAAAGATAGTTTAAATGCATTTAGAATGTGTAGAACTTAAAAGGAAAATACAGTAGAAGAAAAACAATTAACTTATTTTTAAAATGTGCAGTTAAGTATGACTTGAAAGTAAAGAACTGGATAATAACTTTTAAAACATGTGCCATTAGATTTCATAAAAGAGCTGCTGTTTGAAAAGATATTGAGGGTTTGCCTGTAATGGAAATCTGCTAAATTTCATTTTGTGGGGATATTGGTTTTGAGGGTTTTTTTGAGAATGCCTTTCCGTGGTTTAGAGTAATCTGCTACATGTGCAGGCAGCTACTCCAGAGTCTGACAAACCTATAGCTGTTTCTATCAATGTAACTGGTTCACAGAACTCCAAAGAATGCTCTTGGTTATTTAAGGGTTGATGAGTAATTAATCTTCCCTGTTGTAGCGCTGTGACCTTTCTAAAGAAAAGCAATAGCAGCAGAGTGACCTTGGTGGTTCTCAGGGCAAGGAACTTTTGTGATCCATTATTGGCTTATCGGATTATTTTAGCCATATTGCTTTTTTTGTCTGATCATTTGCTGGATGAGAGCTCAATCAACTAATCACTTTGGTTAAAGCACATTTACCATGACACTCCACCTTATGTAAACTAGAAAAAAATTAATTACTATTCATTTAAATCACTTGAGCTATCAAAACCTAATACTTTTCAGCAAAAACTGTCCTGCCTGTCTTTTTATTCTTTCTGCATATACCTTCTTTTTAAAATTCAGACAATGATATAAAACAAAACAAAACAAAGTAAAATAAAATAAAATAAAATAAAATAAAATAAAATAAAATAAAATAAAATACAATACTTTTGGAATGTGTCTGGTTTTAAATTTCTTTGTTTTTATCCCCAGTTTTCCCTGACGTTCCAGTTGTAAGGAAGAGAAAGAGGCAAGACTAAAAAATCCATTCTTTTCGTTGTTTCTTTGTAGCTTGTCCCTGCAATTTGTCCTGTGAGACAAACACTGTGAGATGTTTGAGAAACATTTCAGGGTGCAAGGCCTATCATAAGAGAACATTGTGACTGAGTGGAGCCTGTGGACCACACCTGTATCTCACAGATGAAACTACTAATTCTAAGGGTTATGAAACTTGAGATACCTCCTAACATCTCTTCTCTGAGGACTGCTGGCAGTGGAGGAGGTGGTGGAGGCAGGTTCCTGTGGGTTTTGTGGTGCTTTGTGTAGGCATTATATGAACAGGGCTAAATGCTCTTTTGTGTTGCTTATGTTAAAAAAACCATACCAAAACAAAATTGTTTCTTCTCTGAAAAACTCAAATATTCCTAAGACTTCACTACTTGAAATTACCAGAGGAATGCCCTTCAGGGCAGGTATAAGACCCTTGATCTCTCCAGTTCCCATTAACGTTGTTTCACAGAGGGGGCAAGCTGACAGCCAGCTCCTACCAGTTACTCTCTTAGTTCAAATGGCCAAGGTGGTTGTGGAGGATTTAAATGATCATTAGCTGTTTTAATAGCATATGTTGGGTTGAGTATATTAATATGGGCTGGAGTTTTGTATATTTTCACTACACATCTGGGAAATTGTGTGCAAAAAGGTTAGGTTTAAAGGACCTGATTTAAGTAACATCACAATTTCTATGCACAAGGGAACCAAATGTAGGTTAAACAGCAGTGACATTCTCTAACTTCACCTCCATGGCCTTCAGAAGTTGCTTTCTACATCTGTAAACTGTATTCTATGCCCTGTGTGTAATAAATACTAAATAAAAATGATGAGAACACTAAAATGATAAAACACTACTCAAATTAATCCACTATTGTAAGCAATATATACACAGCATTACAGTACAGCAGCTGCAGCAAATTCACAGTGCATGAAACTCTAGGTTAAGGGCTGTACCCCTCTCCCAGTCCCGTGAACGCCCACCCCAGTGGGAGTGTGCTGCAGAATCACAGAGCTGCAAACCGAGGACATTAATTATCGACTGCTCCTCTTTGAAGACGAAGGAGGAGGAAGGGGTGTGCACGATGGGACTCCTCACCTGGCTAACCCATGCCCAGAGGCACAGGCTCTCCCAGGGGCAGCTCCCCAGCACAGGGGAACTGCGGTCCTGAGCATGAGCTGCAACACGTGGGCTGCAGCTCTCAACAGGGCCTTGCCAATCCCAGGAGAAATGCCACTCTAAATTCAAGAGAGAGCTGTGTGCCTTACCTTTTCAATGAACAGATCACAGAATCAGTTTTCTGTGAAGTCTAATCTGTCTCTCCTGTCCTATACCTGACACAAGCTGTTTGACCATCACATACAGCTGGTCATTAGGGACAGAGATGACTCCTTTACACCCCACATGGCTTGTTGAACCTTCTGCTCAGTTCCAGCACAGGTCACATGTTTTGACTGCCTTTAGAGCAGGGAAATCAATTTTAATGTGTAGAGTGTTTGCAGGAAAGGATTTCTGCATGGCAGACTCTCAAATGCATCTTAGCACCAGTTCTCTTTTTACCCATGTCTCATTTCAAAAAATACAGAGAAGTGCTGGTATTATGACTTTGTCATAGCTGGGAATAACACATATATGTCCTTCATTTTCAGGAAAAAACAAACTGTTCAGTGTTGGGCTTTGCTACGTATTTTTCAGTCACAGGTGGCTCATTTGAAACTACATCTGTCTACTAGTCAGCATTTACTGTGTTTGGCAACCCACTAAACTTCCCAACTAAGCAGTTCGGCTAAAAACTCAAGAGAAATCCTGATTTTGCTGAGTTTTTACTGCTCTTTAAATTAAAATTAGAGGAAAATTAGAGGAAAAAAATTGTCTGATTTTGGAGTACAAGTAAAAGGCACGCACGAAAGTAATATATTCAATCCTTATGAAAGGCTGAGTGCATTATCAGGGCAGCTCTGTGTCTCGCTCTGATGATGAAGACTGCACGTCACCCAGACAGGCAGACTATTGATTTCCCACTGAGAATGACCGTACTCATTTACTGCTTGAGTTTGTGCACTAAATTGAGAATCAGGTTCCTATTTCTTTTGAGTGCGCAGGTGGCTAACAGGCAAAAAAGGATTATGCAAGGCTCAAATTCCTGCCTTTTTTAATCTTTTTTTTTTTTGAGGCACCAACTTTCCAAACATCCAAAGTGTAGATATCTCAAGACTTCTTTTGAAGTCAGTGGAAGCTGATGGTTGAGTGGCACCTGGGGAAATCAAGCTGTTACTTAGCTATCTAAACCTGAGCTGAAGGCTGCAATTCTTGGCACTCCAATGTTGCCTTAGCCATAGAATAAAACTCATCTGCCTTAAATATATGGCAGAAGATGATAAAACTTCACCGACAATGAAAAAATCATATATAGAGTTGGATATTTTATGGTTTCATCATTACCAATAAAATTTTAGCATTGAATGAAAACAGAGTGAAAAAGAAAAGCTAAATTTTAGCCCAGACTATTTAATTTTTATGGAACTTTTTAGCCTTTAGGCTGAGGTTCCTCTCAGTATAATTATAATGAGGACAATGAAAATTAAAATGCGGACATTTTTGTCATCAGAAATAGTAAATGCTTTAAATCTCACAAAAACTTTTTCTTCATACATTAAATTAGTTATAAATACTTTTCTGAATAATTAACTTTTGGGTTTAACTGATTCATTACACAGAAACATTGTGATTTCCAAAATATTTTAAATAGGGCTTAACTACTTAAGTCTACTAAAGTAACAGTGGTATCAGTGTGGAGTGGTGATTCGTGGCTTTGGTGTTTCATTTCAGTCAGACCATTACTGAACTCATATTTCCATATGCAAAACTTATTCTCCCTCCTCTCCTTTTTAATATTATTATTAGCAGGATGTAACTTAATGATTAGAAGGCTGATTCTCTGTACTTTTCCAGAGTTCATCACATTTTAATAATTTATAGGGATCTACTTAAACCACTGTTTGAATTTTTTGAGAAGCAATTGAAGCCTATGATTATTTAAAGTAAAACCATTTTCTTGGAAAGAAAGTAGCTCAACCCAGTGGAAAGAGACTAACACAGCAATCTGGTCACTGTTTAAACTAAATGGGAGTAAAAGGATTAGCACTGAGGTATAAACCTTAAGATTTGAAACTGCTTAAATTAGCATGGCTGTTACAATCCCATTTTTTTTCTAGTATCATACAAGACTAACTCTGAAAAAAAAGATCTACAGTACCATAACAACAGTATTATTTTGAGACTTTTGCAAACAGCAGTGGTCTTAGGCATAATTATTAGGCATTCTTTAAGATTACACTTCACATAAATTGCTGAATAAGATCACACCTCACATAAACTGCTGAGTTGCATTTACAAAAATGGAAAAGCTATTCTTATTTCTATTATTATTATTATTATTATTATTATTGTTATTAGGTATAAAATACTACAACATTTTATAGTAGCTTTGTAAAGACTGCTTCCATGCAAATGTTCATTAGTGATGGTTATCAAATGCTGCATTAATATGCATCTAACAAAACATCATTTTATTATGGCTTTACCTGACCCAGTGAAAGTGTCAAGCGATGCATCTCCAGTTGTTGTTGCTGTTTCACTGTTGTTCATGGGTTCTGTTTTGACTGCAAGAAGAGACACTACATAGAAGAATAAGTAGACATGAGATTTTACTTCTAGATTTGCACTGGAGTCCTCATGCCAGTCTCACTAGTGGTAGTCCAGCTCAAACAAGCACACGTGCAACAGCTTCAACCTTTGCTCTAGCACCACACCGAGACAATCGACAGGAATCTGACAGGAATGCCCATTTATCTATACAGCTCTGTACCTGTGCATTCATCCAGCTATTGGTTTTAGCAACTGGAATATCTTCTGGGGAGATTTCAACATAAATTTAATTGATTCTAACAATATCCTAAGAGTAGCATGGAGGAAGGAAACATTAGCTGTCAAGGGATGTAGCACATAACAAAAATAGTTTTGCCTGACAAGTAAAACAATTATAATATGGTTTCATGATAATACAGAAGGAAATTTCACAGTGCCAGCACATTGCCTTTCCCCTTCCCTTTTACAGAGTCTGTGTGGGCCTTTTTGAGCTAGGCCACCAACAAGCAATTTTTCATAATTGAAGAGAGAAATTTAAAAGAAAAAAAAGCAAAAAAGCCAAAGAACTAGAGTAGGACACAAATGGCAGCTGTGACAAGTCAGCTTCTTAATCAGAGGCTACCAAACAGTTTAGTCTACTCTGAACTCAAATTTATTTCTTAGGGATCATCATGTAGTCTTACCATCCAAGCTGTACCTCAAAGCACAAAAAGCACCACAGAGGCAATACAAATTTTTGTAATTAAGTAAGTTAATGGGCAGAAGATTTGGCATGGACTTTTGTAATGGAATTTGGGAACCACCCATCCAATTGATGTGGTAAGAAACAGCAGTAGAGAATGCACTGCAGCTCCTATTAGCCTATCTGACCGGAAAACATGAAAGCCTCAACATATTAATGCAATTTTTTCATGGAGGTCAGTTAGGGTTGGGCGTGGACACTCATCACATGCTTATGGATAGCACAGGCTGGTGCCCAGGGCCACAGAGTGAAGAGGCAATGAAGACCTGCACAGGCAACCACCACAGTTGCATGCAGGTATCCAAATTCCAAGGGCACAGCCTGGGATTTGTGAAGAAGCCTTTGCAGTGACAGCCAGCCTGGCAGAGCCCCCCAGCAGGTCTAACATACGCCAAGGAAAGGCGTTCTCTGCCAGCTGGTTACCTGACGCCTCTGAGAGGCCTCAGCTAAGCTGACCAAAGCTCTCATCTGTCAACATCACTGCATCCACGTTTGACCGCACTGGCAACAGCAAGGGAAAGGGGGGAATTTCATGTTCTGAGCTGGCAATGTATTTTAAAACTATGGCACAGATTCAAGTCACCTAAATCAAGCGTATAAAAGGTGCCTACTAATCTCCCTTTACGTTTAGCTGAGACAGAGAGGAACTTCCAGAAGCTGATTCAGTCCAAGTATGACCTGAGCTGCCCTCAAGCTCACTGTCCCTCATACAGTCTGAAAAGGAAAAGGCAGTGCATGAGATAAATAAAGGATTTAGTTTCCTTGTAGAAAAAATGTGCAGAACAACACCTACAGACCCATTCTGCTATTCTTTCCTGTGCCTGTGAGCACCGTGAGCTGCTCATTAGGAATTGCACAGCCACCAGTAAAGCTGCCTGCGACAAGCCCTGTGTGAGCTACCTCGCCTACAAAATCACATCCCATTTCCAGTCACACTCCCTAATGGATCTTACTTCAGGAAGTCACATGGGATGCTGCTGATGTCTACAACTGTACAAGTGACCTGTGCTGAAGTCAGAGGGACACCTGTTTGGATCAAGCAGGAGAAATTGGGATGCATTTTTCTCTGTGACTGGTAGAGTGCCCTGCAGCGTTACCAGTGCACCAGTGCCAAACAAACCAAGTAATAGCTTCTGGTTTCAGTTACACAGCTGTATCTCTCCATCTATTCTCTGAGATTAAAAACTTTTTGAATGTGTGTCTTTTGAATTATTGTTTCTCTTTCATTATTGTTTCTCTTCCAGAAAACTACCATGTCCAAATAGTCTCCCTGCAAGCAGCAGGATATTAATTCAATATGGAGTCATTGGGGAAGAATTTTAGCCACATCTTTTCAAGCTGTCATGCACTCCTCATTTTGCTAGCTATTATATTTTCAATAAAAAAAAAAAAAAAAGCTGTGACAAAAACAACCCAAAATGAAAAAAATTAATTCTTAAGAGCAATAGAGTAATCAGGCATTCCCATTTCTATAATTATTTGAGAAGGATGTGATTTTATTTTCATCATATCAGTAAAAAACATATCAAGAAAACGTTCAAGGGTAATTTGTCACAAAATTATGGCCTCCACTAAACCTCTCAGTCACCTGGAACATGTATAGTTGCCTGAAGTATCAAAAGTATCTAAATTAATTTATTTGATGATTACTGCGTATGGATGCCTCTATGTACTTCTGCAAAGTCTGGGCATCTACCCACATGAAAAAAGAACTTTTTAGTACCTTTATCTCTTTTTGCTCAAGAAGGTATTTCACTATTGTCCATAGTGAGCTACAAATGTTCAGTATTGCATCCAAGGAGACAGTATGTGTTTAACTGAACAGAAACTTCAGTCATGAATTGAAATGTTTGCTTTAGAATTGCGTCTAGTTCTGGTTAATGCCAGCCGCACTGCACTGCCATCAGCATGAATAGACACGATCTTTTTACTTTCCCTGTCGAGCAAATAATCTAAAACAAAAGAAACTCTCTCCTGCACTTAACTTGAGGAAAAACATTATGTTGGCACTATTTGTTGGAAAATACTTATAGAAATTGTTTTTATATGTGCTTGACTTTAAACAGTTCTACTTTTTTGCATTCAGATTTCATGACAGTAAGGAATTCATCAAGGTCCTTCCTCAGTGTAGCTGGAGATTTTTACTATTACCTATTTTTCCTTATGTTGTATGCCATTACATAAAGAAGGGAAAAGGCACAAAGCTAACAAAAGAAAAAGAAAATATTCCAGCATCAATTTAAGATAACTAATTTTTATTTTTGTTGTTGTTTAATGTATTGAAAGAGTGAAAGTAAAATGAAAAGCAACTTCTAACTGGAAATACATTTGAGTGCTGCTAGCAGTTCTGTTTTCAGATGGGATAGAGCAAGCAGCTGTGTGCTGCTTAGTTGCCAGCTGGGCTTAGACCATGACAACACAGTGACAGAGTAGAGCTACATCATCAGGTGATGGGGCACGCGGTGTACAAGGAGACACAAGAAGCTGGGCTTGTTTTGTCCTAGGAAGAGGAGGCTGAGGGGAGAGCTAATTGCTGCCTACAGCTATCTAATGGGAAGGTGCAAAGATGACAAAGAACAAAGGCACACTCACCTCAAAACGTGCCCTGGGAAACAACAGGTGGGAACAGATACAAGCTGCACTAAGGGAAAAATTCAATTAGATGTAGGAGGAAAATTCAATGCTGCCTTGAGCGATATGATCTAACAGCAAAGTTGGCTCTGCTCTGAGCAGTTCTTGGCCCAAATGACCTCCAGGGATCTTGTCCAAACTTCATTGTTTTAAGGCTAACTCAGAATACAGCTCCCAACAAGAAACAGCTTCTGCAATAGACCTTGATGAAAGGACTTAGCAGATCAAAATGACTGCTATTCTGCTGATCACTTTTTTATTTTCTCTACAGCATTCCTCTATGTTGAGGACTGAGTTTTAGGGGGAAGAGGTGCTAATACTATGCATGAAAGAGGACAAGCAAGCACAACAGAAGTTACAGCAAAACAAATCTGATTTTAAAAGATCATGTAAAACAATAAACCACAGAGTTTCTCACAGGAATGATTTTCTTCTTTCCTTTAGCAAGTCTTAAGAGTTTTCCTGGGAATATACTCAACCAGAAGCACAATTCTAAATATTCTACTGCCTATGGAAAATTAGATTTAATACAGCTAACACCTTGTATTTCCTCACAACTAATAACTAGTACTTAAATTGTTACCTTCCACATTTACCTGAACATGCTGAACAGATAAAAGAGGCGACAGCTAAGATTGAGTTATCTTAATCTTCTTTAAACTTAAAATCTTGTCATTCATCATGAGCATTCAAATGGAACTTATTTTAGTGCAAATGATCTTTTGTGCTCAATTCAATTTTTTTTTTTTTGTACATTTTCTTTGCATATATGTTTTACAAATGGCAAGCTGATTCTGAGGGATTTTTTTAAAAGAACAAGTTTTTGAAGTCTTCCTAACTTTAGTCCAAGCCTGCACAACCTAAGCACCTGTGTAATAACTTGTAGAGAAACATAGTGATGCATGTCTACATCTATGATTAATTCCATATGTACTGTAACGATGCCACATATAGAGTTATTATAATTCTTACAACTTCTGACAATTAATAATACATGTCAGGAAACTCATAAATGAAAACAACAGCTTGGAAAATTTGGCCAAAATTTTGTAAAGTGGCAAGTTACATGTGGCAGTACATTAGACATAAGCTTTGATTAATAATGAATGTCTTCGTAGGAGTAAGAATACTGTCAACCTTGACTCGTGCTCAGGTAATCATGCAATGCTTTATTTAAAAACAAAAGAAAAGCAAATGGGCATTCTGTGAAAATTCCATCGGTCTGATTTCCACCAATGCTGACTACTGGCAATTCCCAGCAATGCTGAACACCACGAGTCAATCCCAGTCACTCAGAGCATGTAGACAGCTAAGCTAATTATAAGCGGGTTAAATTCTCCATGCTCATTAAATGACTTTCAAGCATGGTAAGGTAACTGCTTCTTGCAACTTCCTAACAGTTTTCTGGCTGTGGGAAAAGCCTTTGAGAAAGGGTAGGGAAAAAATGCTCAGGGTGAGGGGGAACCCCAGGAGAACGTTCAAACTGCATAAGACCAGAGCAAATGGAGAGAGATGTCACACAGCACTCGTGGAGACACACCGCACACGCATGCACTGTACCAGGGCCTCTCATACTTGTTGCAGAGGAGGGAGTACTGCAACTCAGCAACCAGTCTGCAGTATTTAACACAGTCATGTTGTCTCCTGAGAACAGGAATGGTACAACAGTTCATTCTCCCAATGTCTGTTCAGTGTAAATGAATAGTCTTTAAGGCAAAGCAGTATTTTGGCACTTTAGGTCAAGCCTTTTAACTGAACTGTATTGGTTTTGTCAGTATTATTTTAACTGGTTTATTTATGCATGTTGTATAATATAGAGGCATCCAGTTACTATTGTTCTTTAATAGCATGCTGGAAGTTTTCTCTTCTTTTTATGCTGGAATAAGGATTCTGTTCAAAAATAGGATTCAGCCCTTTGCAAAGCTCAGTTACTCTCCCAGGCACATCCACTTGTTATTGACATTAACAGACTTTTGTTTAAATAGAGTAAGTGAATAAAATGCTGTACCTGGCCAGAAAGAACAAGCAAAAAAAAATTTCTTAGTACCAACTGTTAAAATAGACAGTAATGTATAAACTCTAAAGAAAGAACTCTAGCTTGACTCATATCCATGGTGTCATTTTCACGGACTGCACCTCAGAATGTGGCACCCTGCCTCCCACTGCTGTGGTAGAATTGGTCATCTGAAAGCATTGGAATATCTGTATTGCAGTTGCATGGCAGTGTTACAGTATCACCTACAGCAGTAATGACCAGTTACTGCTGAGGAAAATGTAACAATCTCTTTATTACAAACTTTCATTACCTCCCAAGAAATTAAATTCATCAGCAAAAAAAAAAAAAACCCCTCATATTTCCTAAGTCTAATTTTGATGCACTTTTCTTGGTAATGATTTTAATTTAACGTAAGTGCATGTAACTCAGGGTCTAAGAGTAAATTATTACTCATCAAGGAAGTGTGACACAGAAAATACAATTAATTTTGTAAGTTACCAACAGGTATAAGCAAACATTTAACACTGTGTTCAAATCAACCATTTCAAATTTTTCCTTATTTCATCTTTGCACTTTGTTTCAGTTCTGCCTCTTACTTCAGTTGGTGCAAATCAAAGAAGTGATATTGGAATTAGAAATTTACACTTCTATGACTGCCAATTTTTCATAATTCTTGATGGATTTATAAATGGGTATATGGTCATTCTTGAAATTATGGTAAAAAATGCATATGACTAAAAGCTATCCAAAACTTTCTGTGTGCCAGCTGTGTCTTATACTTACCTCCTGTTCCATTTGTTGTGACTGATGTGCTACTGAGATTAGATTTATCCAGTTTGGAACTACCTGGTGCATCACTGCTTCCAACAAGATTATGAGGACTGGCTAGATCCTGCATTTCCATAGACCTGTTAAAAAACAAGGTGACAGTATTAATGCATTGTGACAGTATCCAAAATAATCTGCTTTTTCTACAATAACTTTTTTTTTTTTTTTTAATATGGAGAGTTTGCAATGCACCCAGATTTTTCAAAAAATTTTTTTTTTTTTTTTTTTTTTTTTTTATATGGAGAGTTTGCAATGCATCCAGATTAACAAATCAGTGCAGGTTCCTTTGACATCTTTGCTTTTTACCAAACCTAGGAAAGTAGTTAACAGCAACAATGCCTTTATTTTCCACTCTTCCTTTAGATATTATGAAGTGACATGGGCTAATGAAAATTCCCCTGAAACACACCACAGAATTTGTGCATAAGAAAGCTGAAACAGGAACTTCTGCCTCTCATTATCTCTATTCCAACCACCAGCAGTTACTGCATCCACACTGAACTATAGGAACAGCCCATACAAGTGAATGAACAGAACTTTTGTGCACATCTGGAAAATTCTTCACTCCTACAAATGTGTATATTCTTCTTGGATCTCTTGATACTTGTTTTCTTCTGTGTAATTTCTGTGAAGCTTGCAAAATTTCAAGTGGGTTTAGGCTGCAATGAGTTCCAGCCTCGCAGTTACACTGGGGGCCTGCAGATGGCTTTCATGCAGTGACAACAGATCTGCCTTTCCAGACAAAGACAGAGCAGACAAGGAACATTTCTTGTTAGACCGGTAATTGCAACCCAATTTGCAGTCTGTGCTTGCCTACTCCTTCTTCATTTATATATTAATTACACTGATTTTTTTCCCCCAGAGAAACAATTTTGCTATATAGAAGCAACGTTGCCAACCCACGTGTAACAAGAGAATGATCTACCATATGTATACTCCAAAGGCCAACAGAAAGATTGACTTACAGAGGATGTGAAAGCCCTATTAACATTGTAGAAGGCTGAGATGGAGAGGAAAGAGATGAACAGCTGGAATGGTTCAGTAACAACAGCTCCCAGGTATTCATATTCTGACCAGGATAATCAATGGCAAATCATTAAGGGCAACACTCAACATTGTAAGAATTTATTTCATGTTTCACTTTGAAACTGCCTATCTTCTGTGCTCCACAGATCCTCCTCTGTGGAAAAACAAACAAACAAAACTCCACTACCTTTCCATCAAATATGGGTCTTCTGGCTGAATCTGGATTTTTTCCCCTCCAGAAAATGAAATTTTATTAGAAATTATCCGAATTTTGCACTCCTAATGCTGCTGATCTCCTGGATTATTTACTCCCTCACATTATATTCATTTAACCCAAGACAAAGATTCAGAGCTTTCATGTCTTGAATATATTCGAGAAAACATAGGAAATACTTTATCTCAACTGGGAAAATAAATGGAAGCTTTATCCAAAGCCACATGAAGCAAAGAATCCCATTCACTCAAATAAATGCCTCAGTCAACAATGAGATGCACTGGCTAAGCCATTGGTAGGATAGCCTGCCCAGCAGCACTCTGGAAGAGCAGGAAAAAACTGGTATTGCTACAGGCCATGCATCAGTGGGTAAGAATTTTACAGCTATATTCAAGGAAATGCAAAGGTATAAACTGAGATTTTAACTGCACTGAACCTGATTTCTTCATCAAATTGTGTATACATTTCTACACATCTGTCAGCAGTGCATTATATTTATTGTCTACTGGAAATGTGATCAGTGTTAGATTAAATAAAATGAACTCAGGTTGTTTACAAGTCTGCCACGTTTTGTTGAGCAGTTTCTGTATAAGTATAGCAGCTAAAGGTTAAAAAAAGTCTATGGGTTTCCATCTTGTATGTATTTAAGGGAGCAGAAGAATGCTACACAAAATAAACAACGTGTGTTTCATTGCATATACAGCGTAATGCTCCCCACGTGTTCACTTGGCAGTTTTAAATATCATGATTTCCTGTTGAAGTACGATCAGCACACAGATACCTAATGGGCAGATCCAGCTTAGATGGTTTACACTTGCTTTTTTCCCCTTGGTTTGCATGAAAGTTAGAACAATTTCTTTTCAGACAGGCATATGTCATTGCTACAGATGCACTTAAGCAGCATTTTAGAAGCAAAATCACTGGTTTACCTATCTGGTTTTTTAAGAAGTATCCATTTTAAGCACTTTTCACAGTCAAATGAATCAGGTTTTCCTAATCAAATCAGACCTTTTTTAAACCAGAAAATTAGGTCCACTAACTCTCATTTTCTTGGCAAAGAATATAAACAATCAAATTTTGTAAAATGAATACTTTTTGTTCCAAACGAGCACGACAGCTTCTGTGCAGGGAAGTATTTTTATCGCCCTAATTTATTTTCTGTAACAAAAATGACATCTCATCCGCAGACATGGCAAGTTAATTAACTAGAAGTATTTTTAAAGTAGTGCCTTCACAAATAGACATTTTTTCTGCAGGAGTAAAGGACATCTTGTACTTATTGGTAGTCCATTAAGAATAAAAAGGATATCCAAACCAATAAAATTTTCACAAAACCATGTGTATACATTGTATTATCCTGGGTGCTCCATCCTGTGTGAACAAGTACAGGGATTACTTTAATATATCCCTATGTGATTTATTTACAGAAGTGCACATGTTGCCTTCTGTGTAACACATATAATTCAATTCACATTTCTGGATATATTTAGTTTACCTTTAGCCTGAAATTTTCTCAGGAAGATGTAACACTTACTAAAATCTTATCTTCCAGTGAATGGAGGATTCAGGAAAAAAGCTTAGTAAAATGGACAAAATAATTCCAACATCTTGAATTCATTTTGTCAAACTAAATGTTTATCAGAGTCCTGCTTTCACTGACTTAATCAGAAGCAGGTTCAGGTTCAGTATGTGCTTTCCTGCACAAAAAAAAGTTTGAAAGAAATCTCTGAAGGACTAATTAATACTTCTAAGTTTATGCACCTATTTAGTAAAGACTGCTTTCTAGTAAATGCAGTGTGTTCCAATTTAGGTGGAATAAAGTTTATTGTTAAAGGTGCTTAGAAAACTACACTGTATAATTTTATTTTACATATTTTGTTTCTCTGCCAGGCACATAACTGAGCTTTTGTTTTTCTGTTCCTACAATGTCTCAAACTGCTTTTTAGAATAATTAAGTAAAATTCTACATTGTATAAAAAGATATATTTTGTCAGGAAATGGATTGGATAAGAATAAGTTTTAATTATGTCTTGACTGTTTGAAGAAGGTTTGCATTATTCCCAGCTTCTGAGCAAAAACCTGAAACCTGGCAAGACAGATTTGTCTTTTATTCTGCTTTGACTGTGCTTAAAGTCTTTGAAAGTTGCTATTTACACACACTTATTGGATCATTTCAGAGGCTTACTGGAAAAGTCTCTAAAACATCCCATGCCACAGAACAGTCTCCCAGATATCAGTGGGCTTTAACTCCAACCTGTGGACAACCCTACCCAGCAGAAAAAGGTTTGAATCAAAAATATATCCGTGTGGGGATTGTGGACCTTCCCCATTACAGCATATTCTGTTCCCCAGCTTGAAGTTACACCTTTTTAAGGGTTAGCCTATGCTCGGAAGTGAATTAAGGAACAGCATCCAAAGAGATAAATTCCACCCTGTTCTGTCCCATCTTTAGAAGTGTGGATGAGCAGAACTTGTGCCCCACCCCAGACCACCAGAGTGCACAGCCCAGCACCATAACCCAGCCTTGCACAGAAGGTGTAAGTAGGACTGATTATGATTGCCCCATGTGACAACTGCATCTCTCTATTTCTGTATAACTTACACTTGTGTTGTTTTAAAGGCAAAAAGCCCAAGTCTTCCTCCTACAGTTGTTTTTAAATTTCCTTGCCTTCATTATGATCACCTATTCATTTATGCACTGCTTTCTGCAGCACACATAAAATTAATTTTCAGAAAATCTGGGTTGCTATAACTGTATTATCCATCTACCTTTCCAGTTCAACTATTATTAAAGTGGATGAAGAGCTGGGTCCTTCCACAGCTTCTAACTCCATTGATTATTTATTAACTCTACAAGTAGAACCTATTTATAGAATTTTCTTGAAAGAGATGATGTTTTAAAATGGAAACTTTTGCTTCATAATCCAGTTCAAACTTTTGTTACCAACAAGATCAAAATATGAAATAATTTATCAAATATTTATAAAATAATAAATATTCTAACAAGAAAACAAAGAACTTCAAATCCCAGCCTAACCAGAACATTTCAAAATACCATTTCCTTTGTACAGAATTTGAAGCAAATCCAAATGACAGGAGAACTGAAAGAAGGACTAGATGGAGGTTATTTAAAATTGAATTATTTAGTTTAGTTTGTAAATAATCATAAATTATTTTTAAAGTATTTAAAATCCTTTGATAGGAAATTCGCTACATACATTTCTTTACCAGAACCTCATGAAACTTCACTGAGGCAAAAATGTATCTTATTATTATTATTACTACTATTATTATTATTACTATTATTGTTAGTTTAGCTTCACTCCTGCTTTTCTAGTATCCCTCCTGTTGTAACACCAATTCTTAAACACTACATACTTTCTCACAGAAATGTGGAGTCTTGTCCATTTAAGTTATCAGCCAACTTGGAGGTTCTGAAATTAAGCAAACTTTCCCTTTATTTCAAATTAAATTTTAGTGCAACAGGAAGGTTGGATAACAGAACTGTTCAAACTTGGCTAAATCTTTTTCCTAAGGGTATCAGCTCTCAGATCAACTACACTGTTTTGAAGACAAGTGGACTAATGGGTTTTTTTCTCCATTTCCCTTACAGATTTTTTCAGGCAGATCTTTCAGCCATGCTCTGAACAGGACAAGTGAGCTCACCTCTCTTTCACATGCAGTCTGAACTAGCTCATACAAGCCTTTATTCTGACACAAACAATCAAAATGGATGCACATACACAAATGTCATTTTACATAAAATCTGCAATAAAGTTTAAAACAATAAGTAATTTAGATAACAGCACTATTATAAAGGCTTTTTTCTAGTGTTTTGGG